AGTAGTATTTAGCAATATCTATAATCATTCAAAGTGCCATAGGCGTTTATTAAGTAATAAAACTCAGTAGAAACAAGACTAAAGTCTCGCGAGTTTGTTATCTACGAGGACATAGTTAATCAATGCAATTTATTGTTTTATGCCACTTGAAAATATTGTTTTGTAGAAGATATATAATGTGAAACTCAGATAAACTTTATATCCCTGAATTTCGTCTATCGATAGTTGAGAGCATCGTAGTTCGCAGATGGAGTCGTTGAATATCATAAATATGTATCTGTCTAAGTAGCTTTCCCTCTTCAAAATAGGTACTCACACAGATACATTTGTATGGAAACCAAATCGGAGACAATGGGGCACAACAGTTGGCCGATTCGCTTAAGCAGAACAAAGTAAGTGACTTCTTCAACTTTACAACTAGTTATCAAATTTTTTTGAGTGTGATAAGTTAACCATATCGTAAACAATCAAAGCGCTCTTCTTCTTTTGTTGACATCTATCAGTTCTTTTCAAAAAGAGCGATATGAACCTGTATTATCGATATCTGAATTGAAGGGTCGAAGCCTGAGGACGCATCCCGCTTCGATAATCTCGCGGATTTCTTCTCTATTAAGATCTTCTGTGGTACTTTTAAAATCTATTGCTATATTGTTGAGTATCATAGTTTTTCTAAGGAATGGATAATTTCAAAAGTGTCCTCCACCATTTTTCTGCAGTATTTATGTATGTCCATAGAACATAATAAGTTATCATTGAATGATTTAGTTCAATACTAAGGTTAAACTCAAGTGAATGTTTAGGTCATTTATGCGCTTAATTCTACGAGTCATACGACTATTGCTTGATCGCAAAAGATTAGTTCATTCGTGCTTTATTCGACTGAGGGCACTCGAATGAAAGTCTATAGGTGTAGAGCTGATCTTTCAAGCTTTGAACTCGTTTTTTTCTTAATTCATCTGCAAGTAACATATTGTATTATTCTTGAAGCCTCTAACATTTTACAGTAGTTTGAAACTTGAGCCCGGTACACGCGTACGAGGACTTTAAACAGCGAAATATCAGTATTTAATATCTGCTTTTGTTTTTCTGCGCAGAGCCTGACTCATCTGAATTTGCAACATAATCAAATTACCGATGGCGGAGCACACCTTTTAGGAGAAGCACTAAAACAAAATAAAGTGAATACTTATCTCAAAGTGCATTCTTTTAGCATGATTAACCCTATTCCTCTATTCTAGACGCTGCAAGTTATATATATTGGTGGCAATAAGGTCTCTGCTCCTGTACAAACACGTTTGAATCAACAAGACAATCGAATCCGTTAATTTTCCTGTTTATTATATTTTGAAATAAAGCTAAATTTAGTCGATTGATATAAACTATCACATCTTTAACATAACTTTGAATATGTTCGACTCGAGCATTAAAAATCGATCGATATGCCTAAAGACTCATTGATACAAGAGAAATACTCGCAATATGAATAGATTGATGATTTTTTGATGTTATGATCACATAAGCTCGATGCAATAATTCTATTATCTTTCACAGGAAAGATGATATAAGATGGACGTAATTCGTGGCCATGATCTTGTCTTTCACTATCGGTTTCAGTCATTCGCGTTCCTGAATGATCATGAGCTGTGAATTTCTTAATTTGAAAAATATCGCTGCTTATGTATCATACCTCTTTTCTTATCAATAAGTTTGTAATTAGATCACCTACCCAAAAAAGACGAAAAGAATACGCGAATCGTAGAGATTAATCAGAAATAATTTTTTCAAATGTTTTCTTGTGAACACGCTTGCAGTGTTATGGTGATAATAATCAAATTGGTGCGAAAGGGACACAGCGTCTCGCAGAAGTAATGAGGCACAAAAAATTAACTTCTTTGATTTGCTGTATATTCTTGTTATTTGTTCAGTTTCACTTTTCTTTTTGACAGACACTGACGAACTTGTACCTTCCAAATAGCATCTCCGCTGCTACGCAAGCACGGCTGAAGCAGCAAGATGGTCGAATTTCATTTCATTAACTTCTGTAGTTTTTTTTCCTGATGTGAATAAAATAAAATTCGTTCGATTGTTTCGTGTTGGCCATATGAATCAGTTTCTCACATAGGTCTGAAATCATTTAGTAAATATGTAGCAAACAACCATTCAAAAGGACGTGGCACCTATTATTCACTTTTCCACACGCACCATTCGAAATATACGATTGTTTTCTTTCTGTTCAAATTTTGACTGCTACAGAAATTATATTAGATAGACTTTTCAGATACATTTCCAGCTGTCGAAGAAAGGAAACTTATTGACAAAGTACTCTGTATTATTCCTGTTGATTCTGATCAGGGAAAACTTCTTGGCACTTGGATTTTTTTTAGCGATTTCGCACTTTTATTCCATCATTCCATAAAAGCGATGTTTATTTCGTAGCTGGCTTTATATACTTTTATGATTGCAACAATATTAATTGCTAGTAATTGATTGAACTCTTGAAAAATCCTTAGTCTTTCAAACTATAGAGAGTGTGATGGTTGTGTTTAAATCTAGCAGCTATTATCGTAATTTTGCCTCCATCAAAACCGCTCACCAAACAGTTTGATTTAATCACGTATATTCTATGTTTTAATTATCCTTAGGTGATCAGTAGAACAGTAGTTTTTTTAGTTATTAATTGGACTATAATTTTTTGTTGTTACAATTTGACACGCATATCAGGGAGGAACATTCAACTCATGTTTTTAGTGGCTTAACTTATCAGCAGTTAGCAACATCAAATCCGAGGTTTATCAATCGGAACTGCTAAAAACAGCTTTTGCTGTTCGATGCTCTTTATATCTAACTATTTGTCCTAAGTCTGTTGAAGCTATGAAATCATTATGCTAGCAGTTGAAATTTTCTGTCTTGGTAAAAGATAAATGGCATCGATTATTCATTTATCAATTCTATTATAACAAACATTTTGTATGTGCTCACATAAACGAAGAATAAATCTGCATTCACTTATACATCCGTCATTTGAGTATAGTATTCACACATTTCAGCAAATGAAGATTGAACTAAATATGCATATTCGACAGAGCATAACCAAAAAAATCGTTGTTATAAGTGAAAGCAGCTGGACAGTGGAATTAGTATTCTGACTGAAAATTTTTCGACTCACTACCCGCTCTTTTCCACTAAAAACGGGAATAGATTGCAGAAAGAAAAGTCAAAAATTTTCCCCGTCGCAATACTGCTTTCTTGTGGGTTCCAATGAAATTCCACTATTTTCGGAGGTCGAAGCTGTCAAAATTGTTCAAACTGTTGACAAAAACTAATAAAATCTTCTACAGCAGATTTTAGCCAGCTTATTTGACTTCTTCTAGATTTCAATCCTACCACCAGCATTTTACTTTCATTGCAATTTGATTGAATTTCTTCTACTTGGAAGATATGTCACTTAATTACATGTTGAAAAACAACGCTCTGTGAGAGAATGTCAGATTGTCGTACTCATCATGAAACTAACCATGGTTTTCATTAAATATTTTTCTTGTGTGTGCTATGGGATGGTTCCTTCTTTTTTCAATACTGATACCAACATCCACACGCTCAAGATTCTCCAAAATATAAGTAAACTCAATGATTCCTAATTTATATGATTATGATCTTGAATGAGTGAAAGGAATGGCGTTACTGATTCAATTGATACATATTAATCGTTCATGTGGTGAGTTTGGTAATTTATAAGTCTTATTTTCACCACCTTTACGAATAATTTACTACGAATTGACAGTAAACTGTAGAACTTTTTGAAGATCTATTTTCTTTTTTTAAAACTTAATATAAATGAAGAATGTCCATCACTTCCTTGATTAAGTTTTCAGCATTGTTGTCGTATAATTCAACTGCATTTACATTAGACATCATTTTTCGGAAATTAGCTACGGCATTATTAGATTGATATTTTTATTCATCCAAAGTGCCTACAAAAAAAGGAATTGTTAACAACAAGTTTCTAGTCCACCAGGAACAAATAAAAATGTCGTTTGGCATTCTTTCCATCTATCTTGCAGCACTACGTTGATAAGCTTTAAACGCATCTATTGTTTTACGACTCATTGCAAACCAAGTCTTGTGTGACAAAGGTTCCAAAATCATAGCACCAATTAGTATATCAACAGAACATTTTGATATTCGCTGTACAAGAAAAATTCTATCTGATGATGCTCTCTGTTTAGATTTATTGCAACACAAAATCAACAGTAAACGTTAATACAAAAAATGAACCCATAGATTTATCTTAGTTAAAGTATTCTTCGAGTTCAATTTTATTTTAAATGAAAAAACTCCGTTTTCTTATTTATTCTTCTCATAAGATGTACTATCGAAAACTATTTTTGTAAAAAGAATTATTAAAAACTACTAAAGATATGGTTGTGCTTGGTTGAACTGAAGAATCAATATGCGTAGTTACGTATGTTAAACAATTTTTCATGTGTTTTTTGTGGATTTTCTGGAAAAGATATTCGATGCTCCATAAAGATCTCCTTGCTGTTATTGAATAATACGATAAAAATTACACATGGATTAGCACCGGTACGAGCCAAATAACCTGTGGGTAAATTATATTTATCCATTCCAACATCAGGAATATCTTTTTTTGTAGTATAACTATGAGCCATTGTTTGACAGTATTGAATATAGTTATCTGTAGTATAGCAGTTACAACGAAAAGACAAGAACAGAAAAATTAATCATTCTATGCATGACGTCATCGTCTTTGTTTCGTGAACGTATCGATGGATACTGTGCGACTATCTAGTATTATATGCACCTAAATCAATTGACAGATAATCAACAATATATGCTCGTTGACACAGATTTTCAATATTTTGCATTCGATATTATAGATCTCAGAAATTTATTCCTGTGCGAAAATTCCGTTGATAAATATATTTAAAAAGTATTAAACAAATTTATTGTTAAAATAGCAACAGCGATAAATAATTCTCTTATCGAAGCCAAATGCTCAATTGGTTACGATAGGAAAATTCAATTCGAGTCATAGTTGAATTTTGAAGTCGATCGATCTTTGATGCAATTGCTTCTTTGACGGCTGCTTTTACCCTTGGTTTAAGTTTGACATTATCGATTTTATTTACTTGTAATAATATTAATTCGCGAAAATAGACAGTATCGACCAAAAATCTTAATGCAAAATCAATCAGATGTTTTTCTCTTATCAGTGCCTGACCGCCAATAGCGAGATAACGCACTTTAGGTACGAGCATATCCAGACGATTGACATCAAAAGATCGATGCTCTCCGGCTTTCACAAAGAGACAAACATGTGTGATCAATGGATAACTGCCGGAACAGCGACAAAAATCTTCCCAATGTACATCGAGATGCGACAGATGAGTTGATAATACCAGAATTATTTCCAGTGATGAACGATGCTCGGCACTGTCCAAAGGAAGATATTGTTTGAATCGAAACGTCAATGAACGAAGATGAATGCACGGATTGGATTTCTCTGGGCTAGCAACGATCTCTGCTTCATTCTGAAATTGAAAATAATACATGCAATTGTTAGATATAACGTTATGAATGTTTTTTTTATCTTTACTTCTCACCACATTTTCTACTTAATTCATCGACAATTTTTTAACTAAACTTACTAGATTAGAGAAAAGTTATACTAATGTAAACCGGAGACCAAAGCGAATTAAAACAAGTCTTTTTAAGGACTCGATGATATTCAAATCAGATTAAAGTCTGACAAAAGTTCTGGCTCTGTTTCTTTTGTTAAAGATCCGTTTGTTTATATTTGGTCTATTTGCAGGAATTCCAAGATCGTTTACTTGTATAAAACAAAGAACATTAAGTAACTACATAATAGCAGTCATAGAATGACTTTTATCATAAAAGGTTATTCCGGTTGAAATTAAGAATATCTTATCGTTAGCACTATAATAATCTATATTTGACAACGTTAATTGATATCCCGTATTTCTCTATGGTTCAGAAAACGAAACGAATAGGAAAAGGTTTATTGTGATTCGATTAGTTTTCAATTTCTGACGTGAGCATTAATCCATGTCCTCTCGTCAAACTATCGAGATATTATAGAAGAAAAGGGTCTATCTATATATTCATGAATATGAGAACGATGGTTTACATTTATTCCGAAACACACACAATGGAGCGTCTTGACTGTTCTTAATGCTTCAAGACTTTTAATCAATTGTTTTTTGTTGCTTGTCCACTTCCATAGCCATTCCATCGTTGAACGATCGAAGTTCTTTCTAACTGTAGTCAAGTAATGAGTAAAAAGTTCACAATTGTGCACGGTGCGCATTTGCTTCAACAAATAAACAGGTACAGAGTAGACAAGAAGCACGGATTGTATATCAATCAATGAATAGTAGTTATCGATTAGTTCCAAATGTTCATCAACATGAGAGCTAGCATTTTCAAATGGCCATCCATAATTATGAAATCTACGACTCCATTCTTGTTCGTACTTGGCAGGAAACCGAAACAAATATTGAAATTGATGACGTTTGAGAGCAGGCAAATTTGAAGGGCTAACCGACTGTTGAAAAGCTGTCAAATGATCTAAAGCTAAAAAAGAAACGGAACATAAGCTTTGATGCCTTTACATTATATTCATTCACAAATTATTCCGGATGAAAATCAATGCTACGTTATTTTTATTTAAAGCAGCTACGAAATATTCATGATGACTAGAAAGATTAATACAAGTTAATCTTAATACCATGTTCGGTTAACGAACAGAACTTTTCTGGTTAGATTAACTTTCTAACACCGGTTTTAATAATTTTTCGTAGTGAAAGAAATAATAAATCAAATATTAAGAAAAACTTCAGACAAAAAATAATTGATTGCACTTACATTGATCATAGACATCAACCAACGTGAGTGTGTCAAGATGAGAAAAGTTGAGTGAATTCAATAGCACCAAAAGATCTTCGAGTTCTATATGACGTAAGACAAGTGATCGAAGTTTCGTACCATTAGCATTTGTACGACGAAGATCTTGTTCGCATAATTCAAAACGTGCAGGTGACTGGCCTTGTTTGGATAGTAAGTTCTTTTGTGGCTGTTCAATAGTTACAATTAGATGTTCGAGTAGTGGTAAAGCTTCAGGCATCAAGAGAAGAATGAGTTCAGATGAATGTTGTAAACTCAGAGTCAACCGTACAGTGTATATCCAACACAGTTGATATTCTATTGCATCATACAGATCATTTCTGCGTTTCCAACTCTGATCGTCATGCCCTAAAAGCAAATAAATGTTTGCGAGGATTAAGAATTACTAAGCCAAAACTTCAGTTATGAGACATCTAACTACTCGATTTTTTTAAATGCTATTTGATTTTGTTGTCGAATAAATACCCTTATACTTGACAACGCTGTTTCCTTCATTATCTTTCTTTTTTTATGACAAAATTTCTAGTTGCTATGAAATAGGAGTCCACATTTCTTATATATCTTTTAACCTAATTTGATGTTCTCAAAATAGATTCACCTCTTTTCTGCTTACTCTGACAAATTATCAAAAACAAAATTCGCACTTATTTAATAGCATAGCTTATGTATGAACCTTTTGTTACTTCAAGTATCATCGTTGGATACGAAACACGATCACGAATCATGACTGCCAATGTGTTCATATAGGTATAAGATGGATCTTTAAAAACAAGATGAAGACAGCGAAGTTGTGATTCGAGAAGTGTTTGAAATTGAATTGCATTAAACAATGACCAAATGCTTAGTATAGCTTCAGGTAAAACGTAAATAACTCGCAGAGAAGATAAAAGCCAGTCTGTCGTTTTAATTATCCACCGATTGAAAAGTAAGTCATAATCAAATTCATTCTCAAAACAGATAGTATGGGCTGCGGAGACGAGCCCTGTTTGCCATTGACAATCTGAATTATAACTACAATTGTCAAATAATTCAACTATTTCAGCATGCGATATATCTCTTAAATCGATAGTATGACGAATGATATCAGAAGTGAGTAGCTGATTCAAGCGTCTATTAATACCAAAAAACGCTCGCCACATATGACGTGAAGAGAGATACCCAAAAATCATGAGCCATATTTCATTCGGTAATGATTCAAACGTGAGAGTCATTTTTTTATTTGTTATTATATTTTCGTTACATTGACGGAAATATATAACCGACTACTGTTCTCTCCCTTACCCAACCGGTGTGAATGAAGCTTCTATTCTCTATGTGTATCAAAATGGTTAAAAGAAAAAATAGAGAACGACAGAATAGCGAAAAAAAGATGTCGACACAAAAAACAAACATAGAAAACAATTATGGAGAAAAGAAAAATGTTGATCATATTATTTTGTAATAATTCAAATTCGTAAATATAACGAAATATACCCACCATACATCAATTTGAAATTCAAGGAAATGAAGTGGAATTCAATGTTTGAAGCACCCACATCTGGATTTCACGTGTCAGTTGTTGTTACCCCATCAATATGGAGTTGGATGTAACTGTATTTCAAGCTTCCTAATTCTAGTGTGGAGCCGGTATCTTGTAGGTGTGCAGATATATGTATGTCGATATCAGCAGAAGTCAGAGGTCCAAACCTTCAAGAATATTTTTTTATAACTTTGAGAGCTAGAATTTTCTTTCCAACGAATGTAAAATAATTATATAACATTTGCTGTTTGTCTCAATTAAAATAAGTTAAGATCATCTAAAGTTTTCCGTATTGAAAACGATTGAAATAATGATATACTTTGTCTTTGTTGAATTCAGAGACACATGTCGAATTATTATAACGAAATTCTTGAGAAAAACTAGCTGGGAATTCGATCCTTTTAATCGAGAAGTTGACTCATCGCTATTAACTGTGGTCAAGATACTATCCACTTTCGAAAAGTAAATAAGATTAATTTTATTCCATTAACATATGCCAAAATATCAAAATTAAGATAGCAGAGTAACATATAGAATCAGTACATATATATATATATCTTATGGTATAAAAGATATTCCTCAATCTACACTAGAATTTATAAAAAAAAGATTTTATTCTTTCATAAAAATTATTCAGGATATGGATGTGACTGAAGATGATATACAACTACCCACGCCACGAGAGATTTATGCACTGGCTCATTTTCAGTTTTTCTCCAAGCAAAATCGTGATTCTCACAGCAGATTTATTTCATTTCTATACAGCTCACTCTATCGTCTGAAGCGAAACAAACGAGAAAAAAAGAGTGTTCCTTTTCTTTTTCTGTCTACCATGTGTCAATAGTGTAAATTGTTTTTGTTCGAGCAATTATAAATAGGAAGAAGGTAAAGCCAATACTTATAAATTATTTTTCTAGCTTTTTCAACTATAACATTAGTCCATATTTGAAAAACATGAAAAATAATAATGAGCAATTTACTCTTATTGCTCTTGATTCATCATCATCATCAGATCAATCAGCTCATTATCTTTCGCGATTTCAACATCTCATGAATTCCCTACAACACTTTAATGATTCAAATGCTTGCGTGGATTTTATTACGAATGTTAAAAATGAAAAAATTCTTCTTATCATATCAGTTGAACATACTCAAATGATACCAACCATCTATCATATACATCAGATTTATTCCATCTATATTTTCAATTTAAATCAATGCGAACCAACAAATGAAGATATATTGAAATATCGAAAAGTTCGAGGTCATTTTGGAACAATCAATGAGTTAGTTAAACAAATAGAATACGATAAAAAATGTATAGCGTCAAATCTGTTAACAGTAAATATTTTCCCAGAATGTACTCAAGGATCATATAGTATGAGTGATCAAACAGGCAATAGAAATATGCAAGAAGCAACATTCATGTATTCACAAATTATACGTAATATTTTTATTAATGAGAACTATAAAGATACAGATAAAAATGAAATGGTTGAATTCTTTCGGGAACAATACAACGGAAATAAAACGGAACTAGAAAAAATCGATAAATTTTCACGAGAGTATACAAACGAACGCGCCATCTACTGGTATACTATCGATGGATTTCTTTATCGTACAATTAATAAAGCTTTACGAACACAAGACATTTTTACACTTTATCATTTACGTTATTTCATTAAAGATCTTCATTTAGAACTAAAGAAATATCATTCAAAACAACATTCGAATTCATCGCAAGAAACTTTTGTTGTCTATCGAGGACTTGGGTTACCCAGGGATGAATTTGAAAAATTAAAACCAGATCATTTAATATCTTTCAGTGAATTTTTATCCACAAGTAAAAATCGACAATTAGCAGAAATCTATGTTCAACGTGGATTTGATGATATGGAATCGATTCTATTCGAAATCGAATTAAATTATAGAATTCCAACATCAACTCCATTTGCTGATATTTCTGAACAGAGTCAATTCGATTTGGAAGAAGAAATTCTTCTATCGATGGGTAGCGTTTTTCGAATTCGATCTTTAACTGTTACTTCAGAAAAAAATTGGAATATAAAACTTATTCAAACTTCAGACGAAGATCAACAACTAAAATTATTATATCAATGGCTAGATCAAGCTATATTTCAAGTGAAACATCTCTATACAAAATTAAGTTCACTCATGTTATTTATCTATGATTATGATAAAGCAGAATTTTTCTTAAGAAAAGTTCTGTCTCTACCGGACTTTAATGGAGATATTGAAAAAATTGGTGCAACATCATCGATTTTCGGCGAAATATATTTTCATCAAAAGAAATATGAACAAGCCATATTACTATATCAGAAAACAATTGAATTGTTTGAACAGTATCCAGACAAAAGCGTTCCTTCTACGATACAAAAATGTTACACAGGTCTCAGTGAAATTTATTTAGAAGAAGAACAGTATGTAAAAGGTATGCAGCTTCCCTAGAGAATTTATTTTAAAATAAAATCTATTTCACCTAAGAAGTTGTATAGCAGTGGTAATTTAAGTACTCTACAACTATAAAAACAAAAATAGAATGTCTATCATAGTGACCTTATTACTTAATTCTAAAACTATCTGATTTCGATATCAGAACTCTTCATCTCTAGTTTATTAACATAGTACGCATTTCGTGAACGTAAAAAATGTACATGGTTTTGTAGAGAATTTCATGTGATGCTCCGCGTATAACTGCTAATGTTTAAAAAAATCATAGTTCAAGAACAATATATCTTCTATTTTAGCTTTGGAGTACAGTCAAAAGTCGCTCGATATAATACTTTCGGATGATTATATGAAAACAATCGATCTTCTGTTAGCTACACGCTATAATAACATTGGGCACATATATTATAAACTTGGAAATGTCGAAAGAGCATTAAATTATATTCAAAAAGCATTGGATTACACCAAATCTCTTCCATCGAATATTCCCATAGTATCAAGAATCTTTTGTAATCTAGCAATGACTTACGAACAATATGCAGATTATCCTCAATCAGAAATGTACTGGAAAAAAGGTTTGGAACATCATCTTAAATCCATGCCAAATAATACAGATGCAACTGCTTATCTTTTTCAAGCTGTTGCCATAAATTTGAGTGACCACAAAAAATATAAAGAAGCAATTGAATATCTTAAAAAATCATTAGCAATCTGTAAGAATCAAGGACAACATGCACTATCTTGTTGTTATAAAAATTTAGCTGTCGCCTATCATGGCCTAGAAGATTTTCAACAAGCTGCAGAATATTTGCAAAAAGCAATTGATATTGCACATACTCTTACAAATATTGATTTGGGCACAATGTACACTGATAGTGGTAATAATTATTATCAAGCACAAAACTATGAACAAGCACTAGTTTCATATAGCAAAGCATTGGAATTTTCACAACCGAATGCCCAACTAGCGACAAAGATAAAGATTTTTATAGTCTACACGATGCAACATGAATCAAAGCGCGCTCTAGAATATTACGAACTCCACATAAAATCGCATATGACACAAGTAAATCTAAATGATGATATTCTAATTCATTATTATATTGGAGTGAATTACTATCACCTAAAAGATAATGATCAAGCATTAAAATATCTAAAAATGGCACAAGAGTTAATTCTACCAAATAAATCAGATGTTTCTTTGAAGACATTTTTAATAGATATATTGAAAAAAATTGCATCTATTTACATTAGCCGTGATCAATGGTCTGAAGCAGCTACACACTACGCTCAATTATTAGAATATCATCCAACGGCAGAAATATACATGAATATTGGTTAAATTGATATTAAACGAGAAATCTTAAAAACGGAATAGAAAATCTAATAAAAGCATCTGAACTAGCTAAAGCTGCTGGTGATCTATCAACGCTAACTATTGTAACAAAATACATTGAATCATATAGTAGAAAATTAAACTAAACTGCATCATAACAGTCAATTCATTGAGAATAAAAAGAATTCTTCTATAAACGATTTGGATTCTTCAACATTTCGAAATAATCGAATAAATTATGAGTTAAAATCAATATACCAATTAATTCTGATTTCATCTTTAACTTGTTCATTATGTTCATATGCTTTTCTATCGATGTCACCTAATCGAGCTCCCATAGCTGCATAGAATCGACAAGCAATTACATTTGTATTTTGTGTTTCAATGCTCATACGCGTTGTTATTCCCTGCTGTTTACACCATTCAATAGCGTGTTTGAATAAAGCTCGTCCAATGCCTAAATGTCTATATGTAGGCAAAACACGTAAATCCCATAGTGTACATTCAGGCATAATTACAATTGCTCCACCTATAGGCGGCCTGTCATTATCAGTTGTATCAAGTGCAAGAAAGATTCCCCAGTCACTCGTATCCATACTGCTCCATGAATGAGGTGAATTTGATTCAAGTTGATCATAATCTTTTACATACGATGTAAGAAGAGGTCGTTCAATAAGCGTGATTTTCTCTTGATCTTCAATGACGTCATAAATAGAATGAACTTCAAATGATATTGATATACGATTGAATTCAGAAAGACGTGAATTGTCAACTTGAACTATGTGATACGTCATCGTGATATCTAAGATGAGGTTGATACTAAGTGGCTTTCTTTATTTATCTGTAAACAATAAACAAATAGTTCTTTATTTTTCATAGAAAAGAAAAGAAAAGAAAAGAAAAAATATATATATATCACATCTATAATCTGACTAGAAACAATCGTTATGTATGTTGATTGAGTTTGAAAGCAAGAGTTTGTGCATTCATTCGCATATCAGAATCTGTTATCCAGCATGCATCAATCAACGAACATAGTTCATCCATAATCTATACAAGAAAAAAAGCACGTTCGACAATATAAAGTATTATGTAAATACACTGACCAGTACATGTGGATTATCTTTTAATGGCCGAATGAGAGATGGTCGTAAACGATGAACAACAACAATATCATATATTTCACTTGTAAACGATGATCCATCGGAAGTTTTCTTTCTATACTCCTCATAGGGTGGACAATATTCTGCAGATAGAAAAAGAATTTTATCATTTTCTCATGTGTTCTAAATTTTACCTGTAGTTGGATACTCTTCACATTGTGTTAGGATTTCCCACATGACTAATGCCAATGCATACATATCTACGCTACATAGAGCTTCACGTGTGTGTGCAATAACACCTTCGAGTAATTCAGGCGCCATATAACGCATGGTACCTATTTGTACGAAGTCTTTTTCGGTTAATACTGGCGGAAGTGCCATAGCAACACCAAAATCTGTTAGACATAAATTTAATTCATTTTTGTCAATCAGTATATTGGAAGATTTTATATCACGATGAACAATGGTTGTATGAATACTATTGTTTCCCGTGTGTAAATAAGAAATTGCTGCAGCAAGTGTACGTAGAAATCTTAAACATTGATTCATAGATAATTTTTTTGATCGTGCATGTAAATACGATTGAAGTGTACCATTTTCATAGAAGGGTAATAGAAGATATAAATGTGAATCATATTGACCTTCAGATAGAATCCTAAAAGAAATTCATCAATGAAAAACATCAATTGATAAGATATCATTTCTTTCTTTGCAGAGCGAGCGAGACAGAAAAAAAGAGGAATATGATGCAATGCACATAGGTGTGAATCAATGTCAATATAGGCTCGTGCTTAACAACATCGATTTATTCAACGTTCAAGTAAGTCATGTTTCTTTTAATAACGAAGACAATCTTTAGCTATGGCTCACCTAATGATTGATTCATGTTTAATCGATTTCAGTATTGTAATTTCATTTTTCCATATTAATATATTTGCTTGATTATAAACTTTGAGAGCAGCAATATTATGTTCTAAAATTGCTTTATAAACAATACTACTTTTTCCTACATTTAATTCTTGTGCAGAAAAAAATAAATCTTCCATTGAAGGTGGTAAGGATTTTCTATCTTCATTTACATATTTATTTCCCCGTGACTTCCATAGACATAATCCAAATATAATAAGTACAATAATTATTACGAATGTAATTATTATAGAAAGTAATTTCCATGAATACTGATCTTCAGTAATTATAATAGTTTCAATAGTTGCTGTATGATTTATGAAAATTGTACGATAGGTTGTTGCTGCTATAGTCTGCCAATCGAGAGTGCAATTATCTGTTGTGCAACAACATGAAAATGACTGAGAATTCTTTGAATCAATTTCAAGTAAACATTTTTTCGATGTTAAACATTGTACATCACTGTAAATAACATCTAATTGTTTAATAAGTATAATTCCTGAATAATTATAGTAAACACCGAGACAAGCATTGTGCTTTTCTAATACAGAAGAAAATGTACAATTCGTATCACAAGTTTTAATAGATTGGAATTGACGAGAATTTATTTTACGCGATGGATAAATAGGACAGACAAGTGTATGGAATATATTGATAAGATTAACAAAAACTAGAATACCTAAATAAAAAAAATTTTTTGTTAAAATAATTGTTAAGAAGAAAATAATTTTGAGAAACTTACTGTATATAAGTTTCATTACTTGATCATAATATATTTTTGTCAAAGTGTTTTTAAATCAACGGCAAAAATTTCAATCTTAGATGTCGCTAAATGAAAATTAATATGCATAAAATCAATAAACTATTGAAAATTGAAAAACGAGAAGAATAAAAAAGAATTTCTATATACATTTATTTTTCCTATTATTGCGAAAACTTTCGAAAGAAAAATATCGGTAAAATACTGATAGGTTTGTTTATTTATTTATCAATTCCTTTGTGCTTTTTGTTCTATAAACTGCTTATCTTGTTTTATCGACTTGTTTATCTTAATGCGTGCATCTTTAAGCAAGTCGGATAATGCATTGAGCAGTAATACTAATGTTATCAATAGTCGATTCAAACGACATCACAGTATTGACGATGATTATCCTGTAATATCTTCATCGTTGTCGAATGATGAAAAAAAAATTCATGTACATTTTCATCCTGATCTCATATCATCTGATCATCGTGTGCCATTATTAAATGACAGTCAACAACAAATAACATTTCAAAAATCTTCATTCTCATCTGAACTTGTAGTAAGAAAATCGAGAAGAATTTCATAGATCCATAAAAAGGTCCATTTTCCTCTGTTAAGCGTGTTGTGGAATGGTTCCATCAACTTGATAGTCGACAAAAAGAAGTATTGCTACGAGAATTAATTGTAAATCAACAGTAGATTTTTAGCTGCTTTCGAATAAATGTTTTTGTTATTTTGTCTTGTAGAGTTCGTGTTCCGGTTCACAATGGCATCTTTTATCATTATTAACAGCTGACAATTGGCATCGAAATTGTCCGATCGATTGTTCAGATCCATTGGCACAATTACCCTTTGATGTTTCTTTTCATATTTTATCATTGCTCGATCCAAGTTCGTTCGATTCTATTTATCTTCGAATTATTAACAATTATTTTTCTTCTATTATAATAGTATCATTAACTCGATGTTCACATGTAAATAAACTTTGGTATTATTTATGTTCACATCCAGAATTGTGGCGAAAATTAGCTACACAAAAAAAATGGTCGTTTTCATCAGCGATTCTCGATCAACAACAAATTGAATCTCACACGAATGAACAAGATAAACCACAGGTACCACGGACGAGAAAGGAACATCAAATATCTGTAATTTTATTTACTAGTGGAAACAAATATTTATCGAACGATATCGTCTTCGGTCTCGTTGGTTAAGTGGACGATGCGAAGTTAAAACGTTTCATGGACATATTGAAGGTAAAATTAAATCATAAAAGAAGAAAAGTAGCAGTGATAAACAAAAGAATTCTTTTTGAAGGAGTTTCATGTGTTCAATTTGATAGCCAAACAATCATCAGTGGTTGTACGGATGGTACAATTAAAGTGTAAGTTTTGTCACGAGAAAAAAACGTCAAAGAAGATTCTCTTTCAGATGGGACATGAATACAACAAATGAGATTATTACGTTGGTTGGCCACTCACGTAGTGTCAGATGTTTATATGTAGATGGTACGAATGAAGTTCGATTGGTTAGTGGCTCGAATGATCACAGTATTAAAGTAAAATTGAAATGAAATTTTCGGATCAAAAACTTTCTATTTTTCTATCAGGTTTGGAGTATATCAATCAATCAAACATGGTCAAAATGTGCATGTAAATTAACTCTACTTGGTCATACGGATACTGTTCGATGTCTTGTTGTACGTGATGATATTTGTGTGAGTGGTAGCCATGATAATTCGGTTAAAGTCTGGAATTTAACGAATGGATTGTGTTTACGAACATTAGTGTATGTGATTCATTGTTTTGCCAATTTGATTTAATTGTTTCGCTCTTTTTTTTGCTCCAGTGATCACACAGATAAAGTACTCTGTGTTCAATTTAATTGGGACTTCATTGTTTCCGGATCAACTGATAAAACAATCAAAGTAGAGATATTGAAAATCACAAAAACGATGAATCATACGTTGATATTTTTTTTTAGATTTGGCGTTATCTTGATGGTATTTGTCTACGCACACTTTCAGCTCATAATGGTTCAGTAACATGTCTCTATTTTGATCAACAACAAGATTTAATCGTATCGGGTAGTCTCGACTATGATATACGCTTTTGGCATTTATCTACAGGTGAATGCTGTCAAAAACTTGATTGGATATCAAAAGAAGGCCATCGGGGTGTTATTCGAACATTGAAAGCCGATAGTTGGCGTGTCGTTAGTGGAGCTGATGATAAAACTATCAAAGTAAGAATAAAACAAATTTACTACAGATGGTAGTAGTAATTTATTTTTCTCACGGTAGTTTCTAAGGAATAGAATGCGCTTCTGAAGGAAGTCGTCTTAATGACGAATCACTTTTGATTTGAACTGATGCATATGAATTTAGAGACTAATAAGCAATTGGAAGGAATTCATGCTCATAGCCCACTTTTGAGAAAATCTATATTTAAAAGGAATCGTTTAAATGAATATCATGCTTTTTCGTAGGAATTGGTTTCTATATATATCCAGAAATAAGAGCAATACAGTCGCTTGTCTATATCAGTCATGTTAACGAAAAGCTGCTAGCCACAGGGATAGAAATAATACTACTGATACGAACTATTCTTTCGCGATATTAATATCTCATCAAAATCGACTTGAGACATATGGTCTCGATTTAATAATCAATTATTGATTGAAGAATTTTCGTGGGCGGATAGAATACAAGACGGAGCTCGCTCTCATTGATTATAAATTTCCATATGAAATATGCATATCGAAACAAGTATATAATTTTGTGCGGCAGCTTCGTTTCATTGACATTTAGAAACTACTGTCTAGATCAAATTCGTCTATTCAGTAATTTCATTTGTTGTTATTGAGTGTGATTGATGAGCAATCATGTATTATAAAAAGCAATGTGTTAACAATTCATCATTTACATACCTTCAATAATATTGAAGTTCGGTGTTAAATTGTATGGTTACGATTCGACGAGGACATTTCTTTGTTTCACCCAAGTTTAGGCGGAGTAAGGTTAAGGAGAAGATCCCTACCTACAATCTTTAAGCTGTACATTTTTTTCTTTTTGTTCATTGTATCAAACTTAAATAATATTATAGGTATGGGATATCCGCACTGGTGTTCGTTTATGTACATTAAAAAACCATACGGATGGTGTAACGTGTCTTTCCTTTAATGATTATCTTATCGTGTCGGGTTCATTCGATGGCAGTGTAAAGTTATGGAACTTTCGATCGTAAAAAAATGGATGATCATTTTCTTTTTATTTAAAAATTAATTTGTATGTATTCGAATGCGCAATTGAAATTAGTATTTTCTATTTTCTGTGTACTGTTTTTGTGACTTGTGCTGGTTTTTCTTTCATGGAATTATGAGAGAACAAAAGACTTGTGTTTCCTTTCAGATTTTTACTTTTGATATTTCTCAAAAATATGCGCGAATACAAGATTGTTGTGCTTGGTAGTGGTGGTGTCGGTAAGTCAGCATTGACAGTGCAATTTGTTCAAGGATTATTCGTCGAGAAATATGATCCAACCGTGAGTGTGATTGATCATCACTTTTGATGACAATAGTCGTCTAACGTTGATTTGTGCTTTATTTTCTAGATTGAAGATAGTTATCGAAAACAGGTGGAAGTCGATGGACAACAATGCATGTTGTAAGTACTTTTTTATTTTGAAATATTATCGTACTATTTTGTTTGTTTTAGGGAGATTTTGGATACTGCTGGCACAGTAAGTTATTTTCTCTTCAAATGTTTTTATTACCTCTAGCATTTTGTGAAACACGATCTGAAAGGAGTGTTGAAGTATATAGGGTAGAAATTTGGACCCCCCACAGACCGTCACAGAGAAATTAATTAATTATTAATTAACTAATTAATTTTTCTGTAACGGTCTGTGATGGTTTTTAGAGACTCTACATCATAATACAGGCCGTAACCGAGAAGCTCCAGAGGCCATCGCTAATCGTGATAGACGGATTCCAGAAAAGGAGTTTCATCGTGTTTCACATTTTAATCCCCCAGGGATTGCGCTAACAGCTTTATTAATATGATTATTGTTAAGAGGTCGTCACGCCTCCGCTGCTTTAAAAAAATATAATCGAATCATATAAAAACGCAATAATAAACATTAAAATATTTTAAATTCTAGGAACAATTTACTGCCATGCGAGATTTATATATGAAAAATGGTCAAGGTTTTGTTCTTGTTTATTCGATAACAGCTCAATCAACATATAATGATCTTGTTGATTTACGTGACACTATTCTTAAAGTGAAAGATACAACTGATGTAAGAATTTAGCTGATTTTTCTTTTCGTTAATCTATCGTTTCGTTTTTAAAATTTAGGTACCCATGGTCCTGGTAGGAAATAAATGTGATCTTGAAGATGAACGTGTCGTTGGAAAAGAAGTTGGTCAAACACTAGCACGTAATTGGGGTTCAACTTTCCTTGAAACATCAGCTAAACAAAAAATCAATGTGAATGAGGTTAGTTAATTTTTCTTTCTTTCGTTCTTTTAACCGATATCATATACGTATGTCTACCGAGTACGTTCTACAAGAAACTAACATCGAACATAAATCATATTTAGATTTTTTTTGATCTCGTACGTCAAATAAACAAACGAACACCAGTTAATAAAGATAAAAAGAATAAAGGTAAAAATAGCGGTCAAATGGCGAATACACATACATCATCATCAAGTGGTAAAACTGGTTTTGATAGTTTACAAGCAGATCAAGCAGCTAATAATCAACGAGATCAACAACACTGCTGTTTACTTTTATAGATATATTTGTTTGTTTTCATTTCTCATTTTTTTCTTCTTACGGCAATCACATGCATGCGTCACAATTGTTTTCTCTTCTGTTCTCCTTTATTCGGGTTTCTTCATATACATATACCCATTGAGCATACAGATGCGTTTTTAAGGGAATATGGTGTTGGTTTCTTTCCTCTTTCTTTTTTTTTTGGTTTCCTCTTTTTGTTTATTTGTATCTAGTCAACATTGAAAAAAATAGAGAATATTTTGTTTAGATCTTTTTCGATCTGGTTCGTCGAATAAAACGGACAGAACTAGCGATGCCAAAGGTAGAAAAAGAAAAACATCCTGCTAAAAAACATTCGTACGATGTAACTGCTGCTCATTTGCCTAATGAATCACCGCCTGCTAGTAATCAAATGATTGAAAAGAAAAAAAAGAGAAAATTTAAAAAATGTACAGTTATGTAAAGAATGAATCATGCAGATCGAATCTAAAGCAGTATTAGTATATTCGTCCTATCTATATATAAATATACACATATTATAATATCTACCGCTCTGTAATCTTGTGAATGATTTGTTTTTTTCTTTTTTTGTTTGTTTATTTCGACTATGACTATCATCGCTGCAATGCATATAATCTATCTTATCGTTATGTTTTTTTTTCTTCTTCGTCCTAATGTATGTAGATAAATGAAAAAGAAACACAAAAATTAAAATTTCATGATTTATTATGTATGGTTTTTCAAAATAGAATCTTGCCCTGTATGTGTGTGCGTGTGTTCAATAAAATTCAATTTTAAGTATCTGTTGTCGTATCACCAGATATTAAACCAATTAAAGCCTCCGCACGGTATAATTTTGAATAAGGTAACGGATAGCATTGATCGGAAAACATTATTCGAACAGAATTTTGAGAATTTTCATCAGTAGAACATCTATCGGTTCTATCTAAAGGTGAAATGTACATAAATGATTCGTGTTTATCACATGGAATTGTATGAGAAATATTGCCGTTGATACTGATGGAAAATATTCGTTTGAAAAAATTATTATGATCAAGAGTATGATGTAAATGAGTTTTACTCGGCTTTAAATTCCAGCAAAATGCAACTGGTGTATGTTGTTTGTTAAAGAAACTTTCGATCGTAGTTTTATGCAAACGAAAATAAACAAATTCACGTACGGTACCATTGTATATAAGACCAAAGCCGAAATACTTTGGAAAATAGAGATGAGAATTCCTAAATGAAATAAACAAAACAAGGCAAAAACAAGTCTTGAGATACAAAATTCTTTTTTGGTTTCGCATCATACTAAAAGAACTCAGAAAACAGTTTCTTAGGTGCTTGATAAATGCTTATGAGGGTTTCTTGGCATACACAAAACTGTTTTTTGGTTTCAAGCCTCGGGTGTGTTTTTTCCTTCTCCAGTGAAGATTATACCTCATAAGTTTCTTTTTAAAAAAAGTTCACTGATAATTCCTCAATGCTTTCCCAAAAGAAAAGAGAAATTGTCGTAGACTTGCTGTCAAAACTTTCACACTCGTAGGTTATTACAAATATTTGACTTTACCATTGATGCATAAGAATACTATTCCAAATTGTTTCAAGCGGGGTTGTATCCCATGGACTAGGTGCAACTTGATTTGGTGCATTATTAAAATTTAAACCATTAAAATTAGCTTTCGATCGTCCACTAATTTTAACAACAAATAGCCAACGCCGTTCGGCATTAAATACATTCATACTTCCACATAATAATGAAGCGGATGGACGTTTTAATGGTCGATTTTGCTCAGGTTTTTCAAATATACGATATTTTAAACGTTTGACATTGATATAAAAATTAATATCAGAATTTGTTTGCCAATTCCTTGTATCACATGGATCATTTGCATATAATGAACATGTTAAATCCGATAAACGATAGGTCATTGAAAGACATTGTTTATTTGTTGAACACAAACATTTACATTCGTGTTCATTGACTGTTTTTACTATTAAAAATCCCGGTGTATTTGATGTATATGCTGTTTCAGCTAAGAATAGATAATGACCTAATAGAGAACCTTCGGACCGACTTGTTATTATTCGTTTTTTTTCTCCTACAGCTGATTGATATTTTCCAATGAAAATATTCAGAAAAATTATAATAATAAATATCAGATAAGACATTTTATTTTAATAAGAAACAAAGAAAAAAACATAGATTCGTATTTCTTGGATATTTATTATGAAAAAGAACAAATTGTCAGACACTTTGTTCTAGAATCGAACCATTCTAGTTCTTTATTTTTTCACGCGTTTATTTTTCAATATGTAAAAAACAGAAGAAGAAAGAGCAAACACACGAAAATATTAACTTTGCTCCATCATTGATGGATCAACAATATCAACGATACGAAAGGCTTCAAGAAATTCATTGAAATCAATTACGCCATTCTTATCGAGATCAATACTAGCTGCTAGATCCGTGATTTGTTTTTCGTCAAATTTTGTCCCATTGTGATTACCAAGAAATGTGCATACGTCAGTAAATTCTTGCATTGAAATAACACCTATAGACATATAAATTGTACAAGAGAGTTTCGTAAATATAGATAGAAAAAAACTTGGCAACTAACCTGAGTTATCTTTATCAATAGCTCGAAAGACTGTTTCAAGCAGATCTTTATTCCGATACATACATTGACAAAGACTTTTTCGTCTCTAATAAAAAAAAAGATATAAAAGAAAAAAAAAGTTAATTGTTTTTACGGCATTTATTTGAACATTCAATGCAAATTGTAGTTCTTTGAAACGAAATGTTGACTCATACAGAACCCATCCCTGTGAATCTGTTTCAACTAGTTGTGTTTTTAGTGTTCGCCATGGTAGTTTTAAATCAAGAACACGTGAAACAATATCACACCAATTATTGACAGATATACGACCTAAATCATATATGAAAATTAAAACAAGAGGCTACAATTTGAAACATCATTATACGAACTATGGAGAAACAAAAAAGAACAAGGTTATTTTTAGGGGTGTCAATTTACAGTTTATTTAACTTCGCGAAAAGTTAATTTCGTTTTTAATTAAATTCTATCAAGTTAAATTTTCTCATACAAAAATTTAATTTTAATTTTCAATTTAATAAGTTGTTTGGATGGATACACGTCGTTGCTATGAGAAAAATACGTGAATTTAACAGTAGTAAAAACTAAATGAGAGGAGAACCTAGTATTTTAGGTTAATATTTGTTCATAGTAGTCAAAATGTCTCTACAGATTATGCAGGATCGGCCATCGTTCTTCTTCAAAATACCGGGATATTCATTTAAAAACATATTTAATAGCACAATTCGTAGAAGAATGACTAGCTTTAACTTTAGAAACTAGGCAACATACTCAAATTTTACTTTAAATAGTAGTAATCAAGTCAAAAACTATGTTTTTCTACTAGTTTTGAAAATTTATTTCTCGATTTAATAAATTTTTCTTCAATTAAAACGTGACATCCCCCGTTATTATCAATGGTACGACCTCAAGCGTCGTCGTCGATGGGCGAATTTCAATATCTTACTCATAATAAAAGCATTCAACATGCAATTTTGTTTTATTTACCTGTTTTCTTTTTATCCACTAGCAGGAATTCTTTCATAAGACAACTTTTATTTACACTAAATTTTTCAATCAGATTTTTAATTGCTTGTTCTTCAACATAGGACACTCTACGAAGAAGAGAAAAAGGAATTCGAATTATTAACTCTTTTCATTTTTCATAACCAACCTTTCCCATAGAGTCAACGATTTTTGTGACGCTTTTGTTGAAATAAACTGAACAACAAGTGGTGGCTGATTAGTAAGTACTTTAGCGTATGCACCTCGATTACTACCTACTGCATAATAATTTGATGCTGAAAAAATAGTAAGCACCTATTTGATATGAATACAAAAATGGTATACAGTTATAATTAAAACAAAATGAAAAACCTTATTATCATGAGTATAGTCAAAACCCTCTTCTTTACATTCATGTGAGCGAATAATTAAAGTCCATTTGTGTTTCTCTAAAATAGTTTTTGTTACATCTGGACCCCAATAACATCCACCGCCACGATAAGTGTTGGGTTCACAACCATCTGTTTGTTTCGGATCGCTCCATAGTAGATCTAGGATTTGTCGCCATTCCAATAGTAAATCATTCGGAATGTTACTGATCTGAAATTGGTCTTCATCGGATGGGATAATAAAAGTTGGACTCAATACGGATAGATACTGCATCGATAAAATTTAAAGAAAAGTAAAATAATAATTTTTAAATATTATATAGAAAAACACAACCTTCTGACGTTTAATTCGATTTATAGTTGCTAAATCAGTTATATTACTAATGCCACCATGTACTACAAAAATGTGTTCATCAATAACACTTGCCACTGGTAACCAACTGTAAATATTTTCAAACAGACGCAAGAGTCGAGATGAATTGGTTTTATATTTATGTATAATTTCTTTCATGAAACCATATCTGTAAAGAAATAAATGTATGTCTAATACTTTTTCTAACCACTAATAAGATATTATATCAGCCATGATTAAAACTGTGATTGTCATTTACGCAAATTTTATTTATTGAACTAGCGTGATATGTCAGCGAGGGACTAAAAACAAACATAGTTATTCGTTTGATTTATATAAAACAGGTAGGTGCGTATGTTCTTGTCTTGTTTGAGTTAGAAAGATCTGAATTTCCGGTAGATATAGGTTTATGGATTCGTCAATATAAATCTAATCTGAAATTTTACTGAAGACCCATTGTGAGAAAATTCTTATTTTACGTACAAGTGAACCAATTATCTTAGTTGTTCAATTGTGAAATATTATATGTTTTCAAGTCCTGCTAGTACGATCGAAAAAATCTTCAACGCCATTATTTCAAAATCACATTTTCGATATTCGCTTGAATGCTCATAGTGATGTGCGAAAGCATACTGGTTCATGTCCTTCAAACTCTTTTCGTTACTCAACCAGCAAAATGAAAAATACTCGTCATAGAGCTAATGAAATTTGAAGTTTGCTCCGTTGAGTCTTCATCAAAGTTTACCTTAGATCTTACTTTTTGTTCACTACGTATTAGAACACATCTTCATGCTTCAGCTTCCGTGGCAGCGTATTATGCATTTTTAAAAGATAAATTCAATCATGTTAACACAGACGTGACGTAGTTAGAAATTAATAACTTCGATATGTTTAAAAAAGTCATTGGTGAACATCATTAGAAGATTTTCAATTGAAAGTGTATTTTTTGTACTTCTCTATTCTGGTTCAATTACTTTTCCCACCTAGTGTTCTTGTCTTGAACACATAGTTGATCCCGTGAAAGATGTCAATTACAAGCAAATAGCATTTTAAAAGCTGGTTTTCGTCTTCTTCACTTCTTAAACTATTCATTTTTTTGATATATATTTACGGGTGCATACTTTCGCGAATTGCATCTGAAGAAAAGTATTGATAAACAATTAAATTTACCTTAAATTTAAAACATGATCTTCATGATTCCCTCGATTTAAATAAACATTCGATGGATAAACAATAAGTGCAACACTTATTAGAAGAAAGATTTCAATACTTTGAAAACCACGATCAACAATATCTCCATTAAAAATATAAGGATTTTCATTCGACGGCAAACCATTCTAATTTAATAAAAGATAATCATTTCACATTATTAATTTCGACAGTATACCTTATGAAAAATAATCATTAAATCAGCTAAACTACCATGTAAATCACCAACAACAGTAACGAATTTCGTGAGATGAGTTGAAACTACATTTACATTCGGTAAAGTTTTAAGTAAACGACGAAGTTCATGTAGAATAACTAATACGTAATGAGGATGAAGTAGCTGTACAGTTAAAATTTAAAGAAAAAAGAAGAATTAGTTATTCTTGGTATAAAAAAAGTGAAAGACTATTCTGTTTCGACTTAGTATTTGTAGTTTACGTTATGCTAGTCTCACGTTTTTCGAACCCGATGATTTTCTCGTAGAAATTTTCATAGCCGAACAAGACTGATTTCATCGTTCAATAATCAATAAGCTGATTGTGGGGGTTAGAAAGGAAATTGTTTTCAATTTTAATATTAAATTGTAATTGAAAGCAAAGCAAATTTAAAAAAAGAAAAAAGAAATCTTCATGTTGTTATAAGAAAATCTGACAATTAGATTTTTTTTTGTTAATAAAGTTATCATTTATGTTATGACAGTTCTAAAACTCATTCTTCTCTTTAATCCGTTAGAGAGAGAGAGAGAGAGAGAGAGAGAGAGAGAGAGAAATTTCTTTTAAACAATTTGAAGATTGAAAATACAGATAATAATCATGAATGTGAATAATTAGGAAAAGTTTCTTTTCAAATGAATATACCTCGCCTCGTTGAAAAGCAAGAAGCAATATTTCGAAATGTTCTTTCGTAATTGGCAAGACAATATGTGGTCCTTGATAGGTTGGTTCGATGGAAATCGTTGATGCCGCTGTCAATTGTTCTAATTCAAGTTCTTCAGCTAGAAAACAAAAATCTTGTATAATCATTTGTTTTCTTATTCAAATAAATAATTACCTAAACCTGATAGACTGGAACTTCGACGTAAGACTTTAGTTGCCACACTAACATCACGTCTATTTTTGCTAACAGCTTGCATGAGTTCAATAAAAAAATTATATAACTATTTATTTTTTTTATAGAATGAATTTAATAGATTAATATGAATTGTGTTCAATAGGCAAAAACAAAACTTACTTTAAGTTGATCTTGTTCGCCAGAATATTCAATATGTTGATAAATCGTCCAAGCAGCTTTTCGTCGCATTTCAAATAGCGCTTGACGGCGTCTAAACCATTTTTGAATGATAATAACAGACGCTAGAGCTATGAAAATAATAGTAATAATAATAATAATAAAGATTCTTTCCGTAAATAAAATACATACTAAGATCAGATCTTTTCTTCTCTCGAAATCTCGGTCGATTTATTTGTAAATGAGGTGGGTCCGATTGTGCGTGAGCTTCGTCAATTGGCGCAACCATTTGTCGCCGAGCAGGTTTATGAATTTGTGGACAACAAAAACAGAACCAACGTTCCGAGAACATATTTTACTTGTACTTCTTAATCAATCATATTCGTTCAAAACCTTTATATATACTAGGTTTTTGTTTTCCCGTTTTTTTCTCGCGTATGTTTAACGTATAACGATAAAAGAAGCACACATGCACATTGTATGATTTCTTGTTCTTCTTTTTTTCTCTTTCTCTTCTTCATTATCTAAATCTACTAGCGGTAATCTTATTTTTGCTGTTGCTCTCATCTTTTTCCTCCATCTCTAATTTCTTTTTTTAACGTTATATTACACTTGCCTGTCTTCTTCTCTCTATTTCCCACTCACTATCAATTTTCTTGCAGTTCCTTCAGCATCCTTATGAAATTAATTATATTTGCGCTAGTGAACATTCTATATACGCTAGCAGCTACTGTCATTTCCCGCTAAAAGACATTATTTTCTTTCATACTATCTTTTCATTTCTTGCCGCCATTGACGTAATCAAGTGTTAGCTAGATGTCGTTTTATTTTCGCTCACAATATATATATATATATATATTTCTGTGTTTACTTGAAGAACAAAAAAAACGTAAACACTAATTATAGTTTGACTACTTAATATAGAAAATAGTTTTTAATTTCACAAAATCTTACAAAAAGAAAGAAAAATACAGATTCAAATTTTCACAAGGTCTTCTGAGGCTTTTTTTTCTTTGAAAAAAAAATAGAGAATTTAAAACAAACAAGAAAGAATAACACATTTAATAGATCTGACAAGACAATAAGCATTCAATTGTGCAAAACCATGCCAAGTAAGGTTTGATCCTGAAGTGCATCAATCAATACATTCTCCTCGACTTTACCATGAATCTAAAAGAAGAAAAAAAATAAGGCAACTATTCAATTTACTGAATGATTTCGACATAGAATTTAGTTTTCAATGAACAGGAAGGATGTGACGCGTATAAAATTTTCACGCTACTATAAGTTTTCGTTTTCTGCCTGATAATCCTTCATCAAGTTCATAAATAGGCATGTGGAAAATCGGATGCATGCAATGCATATGCAAATAGAAATGCGTCAAAGTACCTGATCGTCTTGTTTAATCTTGCTTTTCGATGGAGCAATTTTAATCAGTCCATGAGCTTCTAACGCATCGATTAAACCTTCAAATTCTAATCCATCAGTTGATGGAAGTTTATGTTTCTCACACAGATCGTGGAACACCATAAGTAACTAGAAACACAAAGAGAAAATAGATTATTAATTTTTAATATGAACTTAAACATATCTATAGCACAAAAAAAATTTCTATTGAAGATAAAAAAAAAACATTGAATTCAGTTTCAATAGAAGTTTGAAGAACCTTATAGAGACAAATCCAGATATAATAGAATAGTTTAGTCTACTAGAATTCTTATAAAATATTTAATTAAGCAATGGAAATAATTATTTATTTATATTAGGATCGGCTTGCAGCAGATGAAAGGTGAATGCATTTATTTATAATATAATAAACAAATCTATAAATGAAAGTCTAGCGTAGGATCTATTCGCATCGATAATACATTCTGACGTAAGGTGAATCTATAAAAATAATTAAAATAATCAGCACATCTCACATGGCAAAAAGATTCCTTTTATCTGCATCGTCTGGTTTTTCATCGTGCTTTCTATTAGACAGAAATTAGCAAGAATCATAGAGCATGAAGTCCTATTCGTAAGTTCAAAATAACCGTAAAACGAGTTGTATAGAACTCGAAGATAAGAACAATGGGAAACCGATGCCTAATTTTAATTAAATAAAAAATCTAAAATATGGAGAAATATAACTTACTTTAGCTCTTGTACAAACACGTTTTTTGTTGGCTCTCATGCAAACAATTAATGAGCAAAGAAGAAGTTTTTCGAATGTTGGTAGACTTTTTGTTTGTATATGATCTGATGAATTTGTATTTTGAGTTGAAGTTGTAAAAACTTCCATCATTTGAATTACACTAACATTTGCTTTTGCTGGTGAATCCGTAGCTAATTCCATGGATTGACTATTGAAAAATAGACAATGTCAATTGTTCAAATGACCATCAGATATTCCTTACCGACAAACATCAAAAACAGTTCGCAAATCACCTGTTGTTGAAGCTACTTTACTTGCACATAACATTAACGCATTACGATCGAACAATTCAATTGAACCAAGACTAAAATAGTTTCTTAATTAAAAAGGTCTGACACAACTTCTGTTTTATTACCGATCATTAACAATGGATAACATTTGTTCACGATTGTAAGGTGAAAAACGCAGTAAATAAGGTTTATGTTCAGGTTTCAGTTGTAAGCGAGGTAAGAGTCGATCAGTAAAATCAAGCGAATTAGCAATCCCTGTAAATAAAGTAAAATACTGTAACCACAACGATGCAACTGTTATTACCAATCAAAACAACGTGGTTTAATTAGTATAAATTTCTTCGCTACTCATTCTTTTAAGCTTACACAAAAATTATTTCATAAGAGTACTCACAAAACAACTATCAAGTTGATGCTTTTATTCCATGAAAAATAACTTTTTTCAAAAGAAACGGTACAGCTGATAATTCGTCTGCGAAACAAATTGCGTAAATTCATTACACTGAAAATACTACTCTGTCAAAGTACTATATGTAAAAAGGAACTCGACGACTTTTTCTTTAATCCCCAGCTGATTAAACTGAACACGCTATTTTCCTGCTAAGCAATGGTTTGCAAGACGCAATTTTAGATTTTCTATAATTTTGTCCTTAGATATTTTTTAATCCTTGTTTGTGACATTTTCCGACTAATACTAAAGTGTGAAAGAAGAAGAGTCGTATGCTATTAATAACCCAAAGATAAGACTATACTCGAGTTATTTTCAACCAACTCCTACTCTTTCAATCGTGTTTTTAAGCAGTTAAAATGATTAATTTATTCTATTTTAACTTTTTACCAATCATAAGTAAATTTGAACTTTGATGCGGCCATTCAAGTAGTTTATAAACATTTTCCATGTCATTCGATGTAAGTAATTCATCAACTTCATCCAGAATAAGTAAAACAGGCAAACGAGACTTATCAACATGAGACATTGCAAGTGACCACATGTTTTTTAATGTTAATTTTGTTTTACAATTCAATTGTTCAAGAATATGTTCAAGAACATCGCGAACTAATTCTGTTGACATACAATTAAGAAATATAACTTTAAAACGATTTTCTTCCTAAAACAAAACATAATGAAAAACAAAGAACACGATTATTAAAAAAAGAACTACTTACTACGAACATATTTGTTACACTGGTTACGACAGCTGTTTTACCTACGAAACGAAACAATCTGATGAATCCTTATGTTGCATCTGATGAATTCTACTAACCTGTACCAGGCGCTCCGTAGATATAGAGACAAGGGTTGTTAATAATTCCATTTTCATCGTTTGACGATTTTTGAGCGCAAAAATGTCGAATAACACGGCGTTCTTCTTCGCGGCCACATATCTGACGTGCAACATGAGAATGAAGTGCGGCTTTAGCTGCTGACAATTCTAATTGAAATTGAGAGCATATTTTTTTTTCAAATAAAATAGCAAACTAATACATACGAGGATTAAGAAGAAGACGTGCTCGACGAGCTGGACTTGCGCATGCACTATCTGTTAAAGGCGCAGGAGAGGAGCATGAAACTTCCGCACGAATTTCGGTGTCGGTTGCAATTGGATGAAGAATTTTTCGTGTACGTTTTCGACTTTTTATTATTGGAAGAGTTTCTAAGAAAATTTCAATAGAATTTTATCATTAACAAAGAGCTATAAACAAAAAAAAGGCTTTTACTATCTCTCTGTTAACAAAAGAATTCAATTTAAAATATTAATTTATAATTGGATATGAAATACAGAAAAAGTAATCAATGAAATATCTACGAGAAATCTTACAGGCCGACAGTTAACAATAGAATGTAAGATGTGATAAGCTATAGCGTTTATACAAAGTAGATTATAGATAGGGCCATTCATAATTATCTGTCAATGGTTCGGTTGAATGAATAGCACTTCTGTAAATTAATCTATTTTAAACAATAGAGAATACTCTACAATTAAAAAAAATAATATTTTTTGCTATTACATTCTACTTTAAAACTCGTTATAATATTTCAAATAGAAATTAAATAAGAAAGTTCTCTTATCGAAATAGACTATTTTAGACGCCATATGACATCTTGACAGTAGATTTTTGATGAATTCCGACTGTGCAGGATTACGCCGCGTCATTTACAGCAACGCCTGAATTGATGAACTTCCGGCGCTATTCAACAAACCCATTTTCTATTTCTGACTGAGCTTACACAATAGTAGAAATTTCAAAATAGGAAGTCAACGGTTCACTCTATTCAAGTTCAATTATAACTAGAAAAAGCTGACAATCATATCTATTCGCGCTCTCAAACTCCTACTGCTTCCGACCATACTCAAGTCATTCAGACGACTATTGTTGAGTCTACGGAGGAATTTCCTTTTTGTACCTACCTTCCGTTGGTCTTGGTGGTTCCACAAGACTATTGCGTAAACCAGCACGCGGCATGATAAGTTAAAAAACAACAAAAAAATAGAAACTAATATCTAAAGTTAAACAAAAACATACACGATAATCTTTTTTTTTAGTTTTTATATACACAAATTTATGTATATTTTATATATACATAAAAACACCAATGAGTTATTTATTTGTATTCTTTTTTTAAATCTATACAAATGTAAAATGACAAAAAGAAAAATTATTCATAAGTTTGTGGTGCATGACCCATTTCTAAACCGAATTCGTTCATTTTACGCCGAACAAATGTGTCATATGAACGTATTTCATTCGAGATATCTTTTTTCTGATTTGCATACGCACGTCCAGCTGTATCTAAAAGACGGCTGACATCCGCTGTGAATGTATAGGCATTATGATAATATTTTGCTTTCAATCGATCTTGTATTGTATCGAGATCAATGGGAAATAATGGTGGTGTTGATAAATAATCTTGAAAAATACTTTTTTTTTGTACATGACTAGCAAATGGATGTGAACGAATTTCTTGATAGACACTTTTCAATGTTATATATAATAGATTAATATCAACTGTTTCATCCGATGAATTTGTTTCATTATGATCGAGATTGAGTAAACTATCATAGCTACTTAAATCAACTGTTTGGATGTCATTTGCAAGAAATTTTGCATCGGGATGGGCTTGTTTTATTTGATTGAAACGATGCGTTCGAATAACATTGATACTTTCTTTTATCAATGATAATGTTTCGGTTAAACGTGTGTAAGTTACTTGTGTATAAAGTGAACATTGCATCAATGTGGCTCCATCATAATCTTTTATATAACCTGTATAGGCTTGTTCATTTAACGTTATTGTTGATGAAAAACCTTGTTTTTTAAAATAACCGACCTTAAATAAAATAATTGGTTAAGGTAAATATATATATATATAAAGAGAGAGAGAGAGAGAAAGAAAAACAACTTACAGCAAAACCATCCGCATATGTTAATAAATTTGTTATATTTAATCTGATATGATAATCTTTTAAATGATTCATTAGATGTGTACCATAACCACGCACTTGCTGATATTCACTGACGGCACAAAATACGATTTCGGAAAAATTTCTAAACGAAAGAAAAAATCAATTCGATAATAAAATTTTTATTTTCAATAGATAATATAAATAGCAAAAAATAATTGCTTTCTTGAAACATATCTTGCTTATCAATGGAAATACTTTAAAAGGCTTCCTGTTCATAATCCAAGAAAATCAATATAGACTATCACGAGATCAGACTATGTGCTAATTGGAATTTAGCAGATAGATAGAATTATTATCTGCCTAGTTGGCACTCGCTATATACTATTCCTCTTACGTGACTAGAGTCTATCAGTTCTATAGTACATTGAGTGAAAATGAAAAAAAAGGCAATGCTTCAATTTAAACATACCGATGTGGAAACATTCGAAAACAAATTCCACCGATGACTTTAGAAGCAAAAACTATAATAAGTGATTGATGTCTTGGATCGAGTACAGTCCTTGCTATATAATTTTGTGGCATTTTCGGTAATGCACGTGAGAAAACATTAATTAGTTGAAGCAATCGTTTGTACATGAGATCAGTTTCGGTAGCTCCATGTTTATTTAAATCGTGTTTAATAAGATGAAATTCAGCAAAGCCTCGTTGTTCAGCAAGTCGTGCTACTTCGTCACGTTTTGGATTTGCTTTAAATAATGTTTTTTCAATTTCGGCACGTAAACGTTGTTCATGACGTTCGCATACACACGACCAAACACGATTGATGAACTCGCTACCTGGCAGTGGCGATGCATTTTGTTGTTGTGCTTGTGACGGAGATGGAGATGCCGACGGTGATAATGGGGATGAAGATGATGACGTCGATGTTATCATTCGCGAGGGTTCAAGTCGTTTAAGTTGTTTCTTATTTGTTAATGCCTTTGATACACGTCGTGTTATTTTCTTTTCTGTTTGTTCGTTTGTTGAATTTGCTGGTGCATTGACTTGATCACCAGCTAAAAGAGATTCAATGTTTGCTTCGAGCATCGGTATAACGGGTCGTTCATACGACGATGACCAACATGCCGAATCAGATTCAGTTAATGTTTGTTGAAATGTATCAAAAAAACGGATCAATGATGGTGATAACGTACGTGTCGTTAGCATATCTGATTTGAAATGATCAAAAATAAGTGAAAGATATTCGTAACCAAATATTGTTGTTGGTTCATATTTTGTTAAAGATTTCGGACACAATTGTGGCACAATGCAGTAGCCAACCCAACGAGCATACCATAATTCATAATTATTGACCTAGCAACAAACAAAAGCAGAAGTTTATAATGCTACTCGTATTCATATGAAAAGTCTTTTTTTTATCTTCCGAAAAACGAGAATGTTCGAGATATTGAACGATATCCGCTGAAAAATGTCCTTGAACTTCAAGCACAAGCAGTGATGATAGAAGTTGAATGTAGAAAAAAAAACTTGATTTTCACTATCGCCTGTCGTATTGCTATAACACTCAGTAAGTTTAACTCTGCGAGTGAATAAAGATTTTCTCCAGTGTATTACTTTTCTCATATTTTCCACAGATGCTGCAGGTTGTTCTTCTAACCATAGTAGATGTGCAACATTCGATGGCATTTTCCAAGTATTCAATAGATTTAAAAATTGTTTTCCCGCTTCAAATATAACATGCAATTGTTGATTATCATTTGTAGCCGTCGATGCAGCGGTTGGTGTTGTTGAACAAACACAATTAATGACAGCATCACGTATACACGGCTGTTCAAATGGACACACACCCAATAGATTACTCATATTCGTATTAATTAGATCTCGGCGTGATGAATGTATGGCCATCGTTGTTATTGTTGATTGTAGTGTTTGAGCAATGAATAAAAGCGTTCGATTTGTTGATAAATCATGTTGATCTGATAATGATGGTGATGTTGCAAAACGTATTAATAGATCTGCATCAAGTAATGTTTGTAATGCTGAATCAACTTGTTCTATAGTTGATTCCGATGACCAATATTTCGCTTTCGTTTTTTCATTATAATGCAAATCAAATGGATGTTGACATGAACAACAAAGTAATGGTTTTCGTATTACTGTTGTATCATCATTTGTTGTTATATCATGTATTGGTACTTCGTTCGGTTTTATCCAACCAGCACAAAGACATAATGATGCTGAACATTGTGAGAATGATGAAAGCAATTCGATTTTACGCGCTAATGGCCAATGTAATATTGTGCTTATATTACTTTGAAACAATGATGAAGAAGTAATGTCTACCATTTACATCTGAAAATAAAAATTCATGCTTATTTGTAATATTGATAAATGGAATGCATTGCAGAGAAAAAAATCATATTAGACTTCAAATGAGGCTTGAATAGCCCAATGATCAGAACAAAAACGTTGAACAGATGATATCTTTTCTAGACCTTTAAGTTCGAAATTAATTGGTTGAAATTTAATATCACGTCTGTTGCTCGGTCGAAAATAGAGACGATCGAAACGCGCTCGTGGTGGCGAATCACTTGATGAAAAATCTTTATTTGTATTCATTTTCATATCCCACGTATATGCGCATTCTTCTGGTTTGCCCGTTTCAATCCATAAATCGCACATACCAGTTGGAATGTGACCAGCCTTTTGTAGCTGAAAAGAAAGAATTTAATTTATCATTGGTATTGCTCATCTCTAGATTGTCTTAATCTCCTTCTCACATAAGCGCCATTTCTGACCGTTCAACTGTTAATAAAAGATAATTGATTTCGTTTCGATTCGATTTCAAACTGCTTCAATAAGAACTTCTTTTTGGACAACGTAGAAAACAAAAAAGGTTCTACTCTGTGCGTATGATTGCCGAGGAAACATAGTTTAGCATAGAATTCTTACTTCTTTCTCTCGCATATTCAAATCACCGCCAAATAAAACGACACGATCTAACGGAGCATCTTTCATTCGTTTAAAGCATAATAGTAATTGTTCAACGCGTTGATGACTCGATGCTGATTGAGCACAACTTTCATGATGAGATGTCATTAGATCAATGTCAATCGATTTTTTGTATCTAGCCTATTGACAAATAACAAAAATAAAACGATGTGTCCAATTGAACGAATTAAAAACAATACGTGAACAATCAATAAATTACGATCCATATTGGTACCTGGATACCGAACTACTTCGGAACCATGTACACTAAACATATTGCGACGAGTTAATATAACTACAAAATAACCTTGCGTATTCCCTACGGAGAAAATCGTCTAAAAAATTAATTGAAATTTTTTATTTTACCAGCATAGATTTGATATTCTGGTAGCGAATTTTGAATGACGTTGACTGCTGGTGGAACAACTTCTTGTAGAAAAACAGCATCTGGTGCTTCTCTAACAACAAACTGAAGTTAGGCTTTAAATAATCTTCAAAAAACTGTCGCTATTACTTTTTAATAACATCAATAACACCACGTGTTCTTATTTCAGCAGCATATCCGTCGAGTCCATCAATATTCCATGACATTAATTTAAAATATTTTGTACCAGTTGCCATTGATTCGCTATTCATGTTACTGTAATGAGAGAACACTAAAATTAGTTCAATTGGCTCGCAGAAAAACAAACACTGACGAGTCTTGATATTGATTAGCGACCGATAAAGAAGATGACATGTTCGATGAATTTAATGATTCGCAAGTTGCTGAATCGAAATAGGCGCTAACAGCACGCTCTAGATTCCATTGATTATCTTTTAATAGATTCATAGCAAAGTCTATATCAATGTTGGCTATTGACGTGAATTCTTGACATAAAGTTGAAACTTCTGTATCTGTTAATGGACATTCGTTATCGTCGGTACTTGAGGAATGATATTGAATTGTATTACTCATTCTTGAAGAGTCTAATTATTGGGGAAAATTCTTGTTCAACAAGAAAAAGACCTGCGCTAGTCCCTTGTTCAAAAATGATCCAATCTATACCGAACGATTGTGAAAGCCAATGATAATTATATAAATAGAATGTCGCGTTCACTAGCGACCTCATTACAATCCTATCCACAGTGACAGGCAATTTTCAATGTGTGCAAATCTATCTATTCATTGAACTTTATTTTCTTAGCGAGCATTCGATAGAGAAGAAAAGGAATTCTAGCTTTTTGAAATAGTTAGGAATGGAACATAACATTTAACGTTCTTGATGATTATAAATTTTTTTTATTTATAAATGAAAAAAAATTGTATAGTAATAAGATTATATTTATTGAAAGATCCATGTTACTCTCGAAATGTAACAACCAAAAGACAGAACCAATGCAGTATTTCATTTATTCATGTCTTCAAGTTCCTAGAAAATACAATGAATCAACAATTCGATTTATATTTTCTGATTCGTATACTTTGCGAACAAATGCAGGCAGAGCAAAACAGGCACGATGAATATCTGCTGTATAATATTTTGTATTAAGTTCATTTGCAAGTTTTATATTATTTGGTTCTGTTAATTTTGCATTCTGATAGAAATGAAATGTAATATAATTTTAATGTACTAATTTATCTCACTTCATTCAGACTGCAAACAAGAAAACCAAGTGCTCCACATGGATATGTTGGTGTTGATACATTTGCATAGGCAACAGATGGAAAAAGACGACTACCGATTCTCACTAGTTTTTTAATTAGAGGTAAATCTAACCAAATACATTCCGCTTGACAACAGATTATACCATATGGTTGTTTAAGTGCTGCTTTCATTAGTAAATAGTAAGGTTCTTCAAATAAAACTTCAGCTGGACCTAAGAAAAAAAGATCAAAACTTTTCTAGGTTATTTTTTAATGCAACTTTTACCATCTGGATCTGATGAATCTGTAATGATAACGTCGAATTCATTCGTATGTTGCTTAAGATATTCACATCCATCACAAATAATAACGGTAACTTTTGAATTAGCAAATCCTTGCGCCATATTCGGAAGATATTTTTTGCTGACATCAATCACATCCTGTAGTAATGGAAGGAAAAAAGGAGCATAGAATATACTCGTTCTCTTTTTTTTTTTCTTAAATATTAGCTTTACTTCATCGATTTCACACAGAATAACTTCTTCGACTTGTGGATGTTTTACTACTTCACGAATAACACCTCCGTCCCCTCCGCCGATTATCAGTACCTTCAAATTGGAATAACAATACATTGCTAAGTATTTTTTATTCTAATTTTACTCGTTTCGGATCGGGATGCGAGAGTAAAGGAAGAAAGGCAGCCATTTCTTGATAAGCAAACTCATCTCTTTCCGTACATTGAATGCAATCATCCAATACAAGCACATTTCCATACGTTTTACTAAAAACAAATAGATTAAATTAACAACTGAGAATGATAATCATAATCAATAGTATACCTTTTAAATACAAGAACATCTTGATATTTTGATCGTTGTTGATAAAGAATTTCTTCGATTTCAATAGAAAATTCTTGACCTGGCCAGAATTGTGAGTTTGCTTCGCAAAACCATTTATTGTTTCTTGTATCGGTACGAATTGTCATTGTATGTGGACTGTTTCTATGCATCGAATCTACCAATCAGGTCATGTTTTAATGTTTTACCTGTACCTTGGCTGTGTACATTTATATAGTGATCGCTATTCTTTCATAATTACAAATAGGTTAGCTATATTTATCACGTCTATTGAGTCACGATTTTAAGCAATTTCCCCGTCGTTTTACGCAATATAAACTACCGAGTTTTGTTGTGTATTGACTCACTTATCATCAAGTGAAGTCAAGCGAAGCGAAGATAAATTATTACTAGTCTGTTTATAAATATTTTACTGAATTCTTAAACACAATGAGCTCAATCATATTGTAAACCAAGAGGTCCTCGTTTTTCTCTATAGTGAATGTAAGAATTGAGTTTCTTTTTTTCCTCTTGGTTTCTTACTGTAAAAAAGTCGGCAAAAGAATAATCGTCAGGCTAACCGCATTTCCGTGATCTTATTTTTCTTTATGCCCGAATCGTTGTTATACTTCCTTTTCTTTCGTCGTGTTTAGTAAGCGTGTTTATATGCTGTTATTTATGCGCCTTCTAAGCCTGCCGAAAACGGAAACGATTCATGTATTTTTAATTACTTTTGCATTTGATTTTGAATCAAGGAACGATCAACTATTTTATTTGATCATAATAGGAAGTGCGTGACGAGATTTACTATTAAACTTGTAATTTTATCGGAGAAATTATTAAGTACTTCAAGTTTTCCTTTACTTGATTTATTTATAATCTTTTTCTCTTGTTAATCGAAGGAAAAAAAGCGAATCAACTACCTGATTATCTTTTATCTTGTTATTGTCAACAACAGAAACGATACACTCAGAAGACATTTGGACTTTTTTTTAACTAAAAGTTTTACAGAGAGAATCTCTACATTACGTGCTAGAGAATTGCATGATAAGAAATTTTAGTCTCGTATCGATCTGAAGAAATGATTGATTTTTTGCGAGTCATAGAAAATATTTTACCAAAGCAGGAAATTTCATTTCTCGGAAACATCGGCAGCAATAATCATAAGAGTTTCAATTTTGCATAAATCTCCACAATGAGTATGCATCGGTTAACCTTGTGAAATAGTGATATTACACTACTCGAACCCTCCTGATCGGTGAATACTTTCTAGGATCATCAGTTTTTTCTTCATTTCCGGTAGGCAATCAGTGTAAGCCCGAGGGAGAATGGTAAAATTATTTTTCACATAGATCTCGTGTAAGCATTGATCTTGAAGCAGGTGCATTCGAACTACATGAAATTTTCATCGGTATATCATAAGCGTTTTGAAAAATATTCAAAAGAGAAAAGTCAAAAAAAGTGGAATACATGAAAACAAGCGCTTCGGCTGATTTCAATAAAGCAAAGTCATTGGCTAGAATAAAATTCCTTTGAGAATAGAGTGCTATTTATCAAATTGATGATGAGAAAATAAGGAGGTCCCCAATAATAAATCATATCGCTTATAAAAATAGGAAGCCTTGGATTGAAATTACCGTCTATATATGCATATAATATATTTTAGATTGGTAATCCCTTTTACTGGCAAATTCTCCTTCTTTTCTCTAGTCATATATGAAAAGTTTGTTGCTTTTTTAAGTTGATTTAACTTATGAACAAGTGTAATTAGAAGTCTCTAGTTCGACATAATATTTTAGATTTTCTCTTTTAAAACAGAAGAAAAAATGTGTCTAACAACTCGGGACAACACACCAGTAGTGACATGTGCACATGAGATTTGTGGTCAAAACGAGTAAAAAAATGTCTTTCAGGAATATTCTAGGAGCGAACATATCGAAAGAAATTGATATAATTAAAATAGTCACAGCGTTCATTATAAAGGAAGAGATCACAATAATGCTGTTTTGTTTTTCACAAATAATTTTTCTATTTCAAAAGTAAAGTAGACGTGACTTAATCAATTGAAATGGCAATCAAATTCAAGTTAAATGACACCCATTGGATACAATAAACACAAGTCGAAAAAAAAACCAATCAATTTCTTGTTTCAATTCTCATACAGTTAATGCGTTTTATGTTCGCCTGCATTTCATCGTTGTGTCGATTGCGGCATGACAATTTGTATTTATGATATTCTGCTATTCAATTAAATAGATTGTCTAAAAGGAAACAATAATACTTTATCTAAATAATAAATACATATGTGATAAACATATTAAAATAATTCATGTTTCTAATAAATAAATGATTAGGAAAAAATTAGATCTAAAACAAAAAGGAGAAGAAATGCCATTGCATTTCAGTTTGAATTGACCATTAAGTTAATGATAATGATCAACATCTGTTTGCATGTATAATTTTTTGATCATTCTATCAATAGGAACGCAAAGATAAAAAAATAACGCGAGAAATCATTTGTCATACAACACGGTATATTCATATTGACTGTTAATTCGTCTATTGTATTCAATTACTAACATGACAAGTAACTGTTTTATGTCAAATGATTCTCAATGGGAATAAGTTAGCTGATAGATTTATCGAAAGTGAAATACTTTTTTTATTTTCTATACTAGAGCAATAAAAATTCATTCTAAAGGCGTGTCTATTTCTAATTTATTATCGGATGACATTAAATGACTTTTATCTTCGGGTCAAATATGAATGACGTTTTCTCGTTTTTGCTTCTATTTCATCTAACGAAAAAAACAACTGAAGAGATTAACGATACAATGTGAGTAGTGAGAATTATCAAGGGGATTAAAGAAAAGAATCAAGGTGTATATATATATAACATAATGCTATCTGTTTCACATTCATTAACAATTCACGAGTCAATTATGTTCTATGTCAATGTGTTCATTATCGAATTAATTTGTCACACATATATAGTAGCTGTTATTCATCTCATTTCTATTATCATATTCATTTTCATTTTGACAACGATCATCATCATCATCATCAACATGCTAGGAAATAACAAACCGTTTTCCATCGAATATTTGATAGCAAGAAAATCGACACCTTCACCCCGGCCACCATCGACACCAATAATTTCACCAACACCTTCCTCACATTTACTTTTTCTTCATTCACAATTGTTTAAAACAAACAATGATGAATGTAATGAAATAAAAACAAGAATTATTTCATCGCCATCTCAAACATTCTCATCAAGTGCATTTCAACAATTACCGTTCGAATTAAAACGTATGCGTACAGCTTTTACTAGTATGCAATTACTTGAGTTGGAAAGGGAATTTGCTACGAGTATGTATCTGTCACGATTACGACGAATTGAAATAGCTGCATGTCTTGGTTTAACAGAGAAACAAGTCAAAGTAAAATTTTGCTTTTTGTCTTGAAGATCGAATTTTATTTTTCTCTATTTTCGTTTATGAGTAGATTTGGTTTCAAAATCGTCGTGTAAAATTTAAGAAAGAAGGAATATTATCATCCTATGAAAAAAAAAGTTCAGTAAAACTACTACGAACATGCCATAGTAATCAACATAAACGATCCATTGATCCTTATGAAGATGATCAAGACTAAACGACAGTCAATATTCGGCTGCCTATGAACATTATCATTGTATTAATTTTAACTTTTATATGTATACATAATATTTATTTCTGCTCCGTTTGTAATAAAAGTATGTTTTAGTATGGTACAATAAAATTGTTGTTCTGCAGAATAATGAAGCTAAAGTTTTTGAAATCGAGATAAAGCAGATGCTGAATACACTAGTAGAGAGCAGACAGTGGATATTTATAGATTATCTGTATATATTTATTCAATTATCTTTGTATAATTGATCATTACTATGGGGAACTATTGTTATAAATGGTAAACTTGAATAATTTGATCGAAAGTAAAAATGTTGACAGCAAGAATGTCGAAAATACGAACGTTGAAATAAAACTTTGTTGTAGAAAAGGGGAAGTTTAAATGAAGACTGTTTGGAAAAGCGTGTGATAAAGAAGAATACGAATAAGAATCTTCAATCATTCATTATTCGAATAAAAAAAGGTATAAACTTGAATGACCATCTGGTGCATCGAAGTCGAAAGACACAAGAATAGCAGCGTGTGAACTCCTTAAAAGTTTGTCTTTAATTGTGGTAAAAAAAGAAGTTTTAATCAAGCAGATAGAATATTGTTTAAAGATGGATTAACAATCATTCTCAAAAAAGTTTTAGACTGTCTTTTAGTCTTATTTTAATAATAAACGTTTTGTTTTAATTAAGTCTACTGACTGATTCATTTTCACAAAGAAAAAAAATGAATGGAGTATCTCCTCAGTTTCGACGTTTTTCTTTTCGACCAAATCCAAGATAATCTTTCGTCGTATCACCAATAATCTGTTTAAGTTTTTGAAAAATATGATTCATCAATATTGCTAACGATTGATTAGCATTTTGTTCTATAAGATTTTCTATTGTTGGACTAGTCGATCCTTTGATAGAAATAATTCGATTAATAAAATCCGGTGGTCTTCGATGATTGTATCGTCCGAGTAATGTTGGAATAGTAGCATTAAGTAGAAATTGGGTCCATGTTTGATCGAATTTTGTCGGGATACCCAAAAAACTATAGAGCAATGCTTCTAAATCTTCAACAAGCACAAATTTTAACTATAATTTGTTAAAAGAAAAAAAAACTTACGCAACTGTTTTTCATTAGAATTTATTTCAGGAATTATTGCCAGTAGATAAGTGTTAAAAAATTCATTGGATTTATTATAACTAGCACATCGATTATCTGCCGATGATAAGGAAATAAATAATTGACTAAGCCGATAGAGTTCAAATGTTGTTAATGCATGAACAAGAGATTTTACTGGTGTATGAAAAATTTTCATACAAATATCAAGAATGAGTAAATCTAGCTGAGATAAACGATTCGATGTTATATCAGTTATAGTATGTAGAAAGATTCTGGAGTATAAAATTATCCAAGATGATTTATTAGAAAGTTAAAATTTACTCTAAGATAGTTTTTATATGATTATGTAATTCATCTGAATAGAAAACTTCAGATAATTTTGATTTAGTACGTATTTTTATATAAGTATCGAGGTTAATAATAGATTGACTATCTAATGATTGAATCCATTCCTGATGTAATTCAAAGAGTCATAGTGAAAAATATGAAAAACAAATTTTTTACTAATTACATTAGTTTCAACTAATTCTTGCGGTGATAAAAGTACTCGAAGGTCTTCACATATTGGACAACTCCATCCTAAAATCTTCTATTCAAACTCGAGAAATATTTAATATCAATTCGAATATCAATTACGTGAGTCGCATTTTCCATAGAATGAAATGATTTTATTTCTCCAATATCTTTAATACATTTTTGATGATAGACTTTTCCACAGGTACGACATGGATAAAGTTGACCTTGATATTTTCGACATACATGACAATGTATACTTATTTCAGGTGCTTCGGTAACAAGCGATGGTATATCAACAGTTCCGAATGATGTAGCTCGGTCCATATGTTCGCAAACATCACTATGTGCCATATATAATTTTGTACATTCTACTAATGAAATACTGAATTTTTCGTGAACAATCGAGTTTTGAATAACGTTTCCATATTTCCAATCGTTCCATGCACGAGTTGTATCGTCAAATTCGATGATAGCCTGATTTTATTTTTATCGAAAATTTTATTTAAAATATGAATCAATCAATATACTCGCTCGTCATTGTTGTTAAACATTTTTGTTTGTATCATACGGAACTGACAACAACAATCGAACGAAGAAAAGGCGCTTCTATTATTTTAATAGTATTTATTAGCAAGAAATAATTAACGGACGCGTGGTTGCAAGGTCGTTGTTTTTAAAAAGTACTAAAAGATTGATGAATCTGTTTAGTGAGATTTGGTCTTCAGACAGAAATCCTTGCGAAATATATAAAGCTTATAATTATAAGATTTGAAAATGATTGCTTTATTTTATCAAACAATGGAAGCTAACATACTCGAATAGCACATTTGAACTATCGTTTATCAAATAAATGCATTATACATATGTATCAAGATATTAAGAGAGCGGATATATCAGTTGATTCTTAATATTTGATCCTGTATTAATTCTGATCAATATAGTCGAGATCTATTTCTTATACGAACAATAAGAGAACGAGCGTATGTAAAAAGCAATAGAAGGACAATTTATACGTATATATATATATATAACGCATAATCAGCATTGATAATTATAAAAAAGAAGGAACTGATATACAAGTAAGTTGATTTTTTTGTCTGATTTGTTTTTGCATAAAATTCTTTCTCGAATGCAGATACAAATCATGAAGCTATTTGGATTATTTACTCTACTGTTGATTATTTTTTTTATTTGTGTGACTGTCGAAACAAAACGTGTACATGTTGAAAATGATGATGATGTGGAATTATCTGATTTCAGTGCTCGTTCATTCTTGGAGAAATACGATGACAACAAGTTTGACACACTAATGAACAATCCAGATTGTGTCCTATGCAAATTCAATAAGATACCATGTTGTAAACCCAATCTCTGCATTAAAAAACGTTTTCGTCCAGATGAATGTTTAGAACTCAAGCCTCGATAGAAAAAAAAAACGACCAGTAGATACTAACAAAAAATGCTTTCATAAATCTGTTTAATCTAGCTAGATTTGTTCGTATACGATTGTTAGCGTAAATTCGTTAGTAATAAAAGATAATGAATATGCTCTTTGTATTCATCTGAAATAAGTGAATATGATTCTCTCGTAGATAAATAAATTGCAAATAAACAACAATCGATGACGTAAATCGATTTAAAAGAGATTAATACAATCATTTAATGCATCTTTCAATTGATTAAAAAAAACAATAAAAGTTTCAAAATGAAAATATTTTCTTTATCAATGCTTTAAAAAGTATACAGATTTTGAGATCTATTACACTTAGCCCCGAACGGCATGGCCAACACATCGCGCTAAATCCTCCTGTTCATAAGTAATTGATAGTTCTGTGCTATCCTTACTTAACTGAAAATGAAATTTATCACCGTCCGATACAATCATGGTAGTGAATCCTGTCGGTTTAGGAAACGATAATATGTGATTTGTTCCACAGTAAGGAGCTGCACCATATACACCGGCAGCTAATGTATATGTAGTTGGATATCTATTTGTTATGATGATCTGACCATGAAAGCAACAACATCTGTCCGGATCACATGTTTGGTCAATGTTAAATGAACCAACCCAGTTGGGTGTAGCAGCTTTATAGGAATAAAAATACAACAACAAGCGTTACAGAAACCTATATGTTATGACAAAGCTTACCGAATAAAATACTGATTTGAACGAAGAGTAAAATAGTAACTTTCAGCATGTTTTTAAATATAATAAATGTTTCTTACTCCAATCACTCTCTCTCTATATATATATATACGATAAATGTAACTTTTAATAGGTATGGGCTCCAAAGTTTGAATGATAGCCCCTTAAAAAAAGGTCAATAGAATCGCAATAATGCAATTTTTTTCCGAGTGATTTTATCCCGATTCTCCAAAATATCAATACGTAGGGACAAAATATCATACAAATCAATAGTCGATTGATCACATACTATAAGAACAACAACAGGTGTCCTTATTTGAAATAATAATCTTGCTGGTTTCAAATATCACAGTACCTATCGAGTAAGTCCAACAGTCGAAGAAAAGAGAAAATATGCTAAACGTTCCCAAAGCCCTGTAGGGTCTCTCTATGGAAGAGGGTGTGCATATCGAATCGAACGAACAATCCTTTTTTAGGGGCTTCAATCTACGACCCAAAGTATTGACAGTAGAATATTGTTTTACACAGTTCCAACCTTAACATTTCTGATTAATTGAATACTGACAGATGAAGATTACAACGGAAATCAAAGCAATGATATCTTTTGTTAGCCCCACAATTGCACTCACGGTGTAATTTCACAAGAGAAATATTTGCTTTTTATTGCTAAAAAACAAATATGTATCGCTTATTTTGAAATTATATTCATCATTTTCGATGTCTTTTGTAGATATATATGGCAGTGACTGCTGTAGCTAAACTGATAGTGCATAATAAAAGACATAGAGTCAATAAAACAATAAATTCATCTTGTGTCAATAAACGTCTCGGTCGATATTGTGGATCTAAATAATTCGTTTGATTTATCATATAACCGAATGTCCAGCCGATTTCATTTGATTCGATTTTTTTGACAATTTGAAAATTCTTCAGATTTTCATCGGTCATTGAGTAACCATATTCAAATAGTGTCCAATGAAGCATTGAATTAAAACACAAAACTATATAAAAAAGAAATACCATCATTTTTTAAAATGAAATTAATTTACATGGTCGATATCTATCCGGATCATGTACATCGGACCATGATTGATTACAAATTGTTTTCACAGCTTGTTTTATTTGAGTTAAATTTAGAGAAGTCAATTCATAATTATTATCTTTATTTGGTAATAGAGAAAAATGTGGTGCTAAATTTTTAAATACTGAATACCATCCTGCTACAGCAATGAATTTTAATGACGAAGATATTGGTACTGGTTGATAGACACCATTGAAACTACAATTTTGTGTTGAGCATGATGATTTATTAAAACGTTGTTTCACAGTCATTTGACATTTTGCATAATCACCTGTTCCTCTAAAAAGAAACCGGACAAAGTTTTTATTGTGATATCACCAATAATTTCTCACACGAATGAAAATGTTGTAGATTGATTAAGATTTGTAATTGGTGCATATTCTCTGTGAATACAAGCTGTACTAAATAATTCTTTATATGTTATATTTTGAATATAACCCGATTGTAAACATGGATCATTTATCGAAGATGTTGCATTTGTTCGTTTTATCAATTGACTCAAATAGACGAGACGTGATTGTTCTTGTCCATAGCATAAATATGAATGTGAATAAACATCATAAGTTGCATTAAATAGATTCATTGTAAAACGTTGTTTACTGGCATGGGGAGCTATGAAACTTAATTGTGTACTTCCACCTAGGCAGATATTATTTTAATAATAGTCAATAAAATTCGATTTCCTATACCACCAAAATCTGAAACACCATAGGTTTCGATTGGTTTCGTATTTTCAAACAATTGCCGCATGAGAATATTTACTGATATCCAACCGGATAAACCCTCTTCACTGCCACTTATTATACGTACTTGATGTTCAGGAGAACGAAATAGAAGACCAAGAGAACTCAAATAAGTACGAGTACTGTTCAATAAACTATTAACATATGACGAATTTCGAAGTTCAGCTAAACGAAGACCTGCCGTTGCGCCTGAAAAAGAAAATCAATAGAAGCCATATAATAGAATATAAAAGTCTAACCAAGAAAGATTAATGTTCGACTTTTTCGTGTTAATGGTATTTCATTGATACAATTAGTCATTGCTGAATTAAAATATTGTTTGATATTATCATGTGTTGCATTGCCGATTGTTGTTATAGGACCATAATTAACAGAACATGATTTGATTTGATTTGATATACACGAGATGTTAGACCGCGCCCATCGGATTTATCAGCAGGTCATCTAAAGAATTCTTGTTAAATAATTATAAAGAAAAAGAACACGCAATTTGTCTTACGTATAGAGAAAAATTTTCGTATGCGTCGAACCAGCATCGATAACAAGAGCATAATCTTGAAATGGTAATAGTTTCGTGTGCCTAAGAACAATTAGTACAATAGTACCAAGAAATGAACCAATAGTAATATTGGCTGCAAGAGCAAAGATAATTTTGAGATGTGTTCTCGTTAGCATCTCACGTGCCGTTTGCAATCATGAAATCAACTGCCTCTGATTTCAATACTATATAAAAGAAAATTCTTAGTAAGACAACGTAGTATAAATGATTGAGAACAAGAAAAGAAACGGGAAATTCGTAGAACGAAAAAATACAACGATAATCTAAAGTGACAACAGACGAGAAAGTAGTAATATGAATAGATAGAGAATAACGTAAGATAATTGCAAAATATATTATTTAACAGTAACGTAATATGAATATGACAGTGGAATCCAATTATCCGAGAACTTCTCCAATGTTGCTATTTAGAGTTATTATGTTTTTGAAGTCATCATTCAGATAGATTTTCTATGTATCGATTTCTGTAGATATCTGAGTCTGATGCTGGAATAGCCAACTATTTAAATTTCAAAAATTCAACTGTTGAAATCAATCTAACTGCAACTCATATACGCATGGATTCTCATTCAACAGATGGCAGTAGTGGATGTCCTACAACTGCAAAACGTTGGTTTTTGAGTCTGTCATATATTTTTTAATAATTTAAATATTTATCATGCAAATATATGCATAAATCAATCATTGATATTCTGTGAATGATGTACTAAACTAACCAATCAAATTTCAACCTTTCAAACGCTTTGTTCATCGTTTTCCCAAATAAATTCGAATCAAATAACTAATAATTATTGTATCAGTGGAGTTAAGTTGTTATCGGTTTGGTATTAATTTTACTTAATCAATGGCTACTGAACAATCATCTCCAGGTAATCAGGATGTTCTATCCTCAATTCCTCTCAATCTCACTTCAGAATCTCCAACACGCAAACGTCCACGTCGTACAAAACAAGATCCACAATTTGCATTCGATAAGGCAGCACATGCTGAAACTGACATGGATACAACTAATTCAAATAAACGAAGTCCAATAAGAAAGAAAACAAAATCATTACAATCTGTTGATTCTGTTGATACAAGTGCTGATTTATATGAACCAGGTGATATTGTTTGGTGTAAATTAGGTGGTTTTCCATGGTGGCCAGCATTAATTGTATGTTATTTAATAGAATTAAAGAAAAATAATTTCATATGTTTCTTTTCTCTCTCTCTCGATTGATTTAGTATCGTTGTGATGCTGAAGGTGGAATTCATACAAAAACATTAAGTATGTTTAAACAGCAAAAACACAATAATATTCTTTATCACGATTATATTATTATTTATAGATTCAAATAACAAACCAAAACGATTATTTTTTGTTTATTTTTATGGTAAATATCTTGAATATTCATGGATATCAACTCGTTGGCTATTAAAATATGCTGGGTTAAGTAGTTTTATTCAACATGCTGAAGCTGCTGTTCAACAAGTAATGTTCTAGTAGGAAAATTATCTACGAAGTTCGCTGTATATTTTTAGGCAGCAACAAAATCCGAACAGCAAGAATTAGCTAATCGATATCAATTGAAAGTTTCAATGAAAAAACGTGTTCAATGGTAGTGAATCTTATTTTTATCGCTTAAATTCTAACAGAAATAATTTTTATCATTTAAGGGATGAGGCAATTGAGTTAGCTGACCGTGCGCTAGCAATAAAAAATAATGAAAGAATTGAAGAATTTAGTGAACTATTAAAAGAGGCTTCGGATCAACCGAAAAGTAAGAATAAAAATAAATTTTGCAATAATCTCGTTGATTATGGATACATTGTAGGTGTACGTCGTCGAAAGGCATCTGTTGAGAAAAGTGAAGATGACGGAGGAAATAAACGACGTGTACGAGATTCTTCAGCATCATCTGTTGTTTCTATTCATGATACAAATGATCAGGCGAATGCTGAGGAAAAATCTCCTATGATTATTCGAAAACCTAATTTATTAAATCAAAATGATTCAACGGCACTATCAGGAGATGAACAAACAGAAAAAAAGAAACGTGGTCGAAAGCGAAAATCAGACATACAAATTGAAACCACCATCACCACCAATAATAATTTATCGAATTCGATCGTAAGATTTTTCTTGTCTCTTGGAAAATGTTCTGATTTCGAAGATAATTTACTTCCAATCATAGATTACATTTCAAATCAGATATGAACTCTCGCTATTGAGAAAAAACGTACTCTTCTTTAGGATGCAACGCCTGATGATAATCAACCAATGAAAACTCGACCAAAAAAGACATCTCCAACCAAAGATCGAACTGTTTCGGAAAAACCTACACGTAAAAGTCGACGATCAGCCATGACCAATGATAATGAGGTTGAATATGACTTTCCAACGACATCAAATAGTTCTGATCGACAAACATCATCACAAATGGTTCAACTTATTCAAGCCAACAATCCTCCATTATCAAATTATGAACAAAAACAAATCGTTGAAGGTCTTCTTCATCATACGAATGAGAAAACTTTAACTTTTGATGAAGCGCAAACATACGCAATGAATAAAGCAATTGAAATAGGTAAGACGCAAAAGAATTAGAGAAAATTATTTTAATTATTTCTCTTAGTTAATGAAAATCATAACTATCGAATGAGTAGTATTTCTCCTGAATGGTTCTATGAATCAATACTACTAAAATATCCAGCGGTCGTATTTAAATATCGCTCATGGTTTGACAATATCAAAACCGATGTTATACCGAATGGAAATGATATGATCAAACTTAAACAATGGCAAATTGCACTTATGCTTCATGCACAAATAAAAGCTGAGCAGCAACAGCAACAAAATTTATAAGATGACACAAATAAATATTGTTTCTAGAAAACAAAGATATATTTTGAACTCGTAGAGTTCTTCTGTTTTTTTTTGTACAGAGACCCGTGAGAAAAAAAAACGTTATTTCTTTTTTTGTGAGTGTTGTTAAGTGTTTTTCTGTTAGTTAACCTTTCTCCGTAGAAATGATACGTTTGTTAAATGTAATAACAAAACTATGAGATTGGTTTACTTTTGCAATAAACAACGACAAAAAAAAACGAATGAACAGACAATTGGGGTTCGAATATATTTCGTATCTGTTGAAATGCAAATTCAATGATTCGATCTGAATCGCATAATCTCTTTAGAGAGCTTTCTTTAAAAAAGCAGTCTGTTCTATTTGTGAATAAAAGAAGGTAGGATTTTGGCAATACTGTTAAAGATTTAATTACCTGAAAATCTTTTTATTTGCAATCAGTAAAAAGAATCGAATTGCCATGGCCAAGCATTGCAGTGGTTGTATTTATCAAATGTGACATTACGATAAAGAAAATGATTAGGCTATTGTCAACAAAATCTGGCAAAGAGAAATCCCTCAGATATAATTAAAATCAAGGAAATACGGTATGCGTATCATACAGATGTTTATTATATACTGGAGATGATTCTCTATCTGTTGGATTAAGGACGCCACATAAGTCCTCGATAGAAAAATATTGGCATAGCTAAGAACTACAATAATTTATGCATTATGCATTATAATATCCAGTCGTTATTAAAAGCTCAAACAGTAAGCGTATTTATATTTATACCTTCACAATTCCATTGACTTCGAAACTCTGAAGACCTAAACATTGCGAATATATGAAATTGCAAGGCATTGTAGAATCGGTATTGTAGATGTTTTTCTCTATAGATGTACTAAATCCAAAATCTTTCACAGCGTTGAATCGAAATTCAGTAGAAATAATAGGCTATTAACATTTTGTATGTAATATATGATTACTATAGTATATACATATTAATCTCATGATTGAATAAGATAGCCATGTGAGTGTAAAAGAAACAAATGAGATCGCAATTGATGATAGCGTTGATATGCATCGTATGAGATTATATATTTAGATCATCAATAATCACTTTTTTGCCAAAACCCTGACAACGTTAAAATTATGATGCCTTATTAGAATATCGATGTAAAGCGACATCTATCTATGTTTACCGATAAAACATAGAAAATCAAAATATTTCTTGAAATTATTTTATATTAAAGAAAGACTATTTTGAATGAGTTGCTATCATAGTTTTTGATTGTCACAGCATAATACTGTAGAGGTTACACTCATGTTAATGGTAGTGAGAGAAAGAAAACATAACGAACATATTCTTGTAATCACATCTGCTTTTTTTCTCTTCTAACTGTTAATTCATCGACAAAAGAGTTGTTACCTTCTTTCAGATTTTTACTACTATTCTACAAAAATCAATGGCTGATACAGAAGTAGCAATGCCTAGTATTAGTGGTGTTGCAGGTGTTGATACAGAAATTGATTTATATGCAGATGTAGTTGAAAATGAATTGGAAACAGTATGAAACTGTTTTTTTTTTATTGAAAAGAAAATAACAAGTGATTTTTGTTGATATTCTAGGAAACTGATGATCATTATGGACTTCAAAGTGAACATTTACAGCAAGATGCTGATCTATACGATGATGTTATTACTACACATCCATCTGGAACTGATTTTACGGATATAACAAATACAGTCCATCAAAACATTATTAAGAATGATCATTCAATTGGCTTGGGTAATAGTGGGCATTCGTCATCGAATACATATGGTGGAAAACGTGTATCACTCTATGTTGGTCAACTTACTTGGGTATGTGAGGGATTGAATTATAAAATTCATGTTTATTTGTTCTCTTATTTCTAGTGGACAACAGATGGTGATTTAGCTGATGCTATTCATGATCTAGGAATCAACGATTTACTTGAAGTTAAATTTCATGAAAATCGTGTCAATGGTCAATCAAAAGGGTAAGTTTTCGTATTTGTTTTTTTATTTTGCAATTTTGTCATAATACTCATCTTTCTAGCTTTGCTCTTGTTACTGTTGGTTCTGACACATCATCTCGAGCCTTAAGTGAAAAATTACCGAAACGAGAAATTCATGGACAAACACCATCTATTTTACCATTTAATAAAAATTCATTAACTTTTCTTGATGGTGCTACTCGTAAAGATGGACCTATGGAACCAATGCCATCAATGGGTGCACCACCGCGTACGTTTTATTTTTCTGTTTGCGAATATGAATTAATATTCATATCATGATGTTAAATTTTTAGTTCGTCCTATGATGCATCCACCAATGGGTCTTACATTACCAATGCATCGTGGTGGTCCTATGGATGGACCCTATCGTTTTCCACCACAAGGACCTGTTATGTTACCTGGAGGACCAGGTGGTATGGGCCGTCCACAATTACAAATTGCTCTTGGTCAACGTGGACCTGTACCTGGTGGCCAGATGATTCTTGGACGAATGCCAGGTCCACCTCCACCCGTTGGTGTTCATCCACAACAATCTGTTCTTGTTATGCAACAATCACAACGACCTTCTGGACCTCCCGGTAGCAATGGACCTCCTTTTGCTCGACAACCTATGCGACCTGGAACACCAGGTGATTTAACGAATAAGAAACATTTATTTTCTTATACTCTATTGATCTAATGAATGTTTTTTTTTATCTTGTTGTTCTAGGCGTACCTGTATCTTCAAGTTCTATGCAAGTTATGCCTGGTCAACATCCACCTAGTTACTATCCCGGTCAACCGGTACAATCCCAAGGCGTATGTTATTTCTATTTGTAACACAACCACTTTGATAATTATTTTAAAATAATAGGCTCCTCCACATGGTCTTCCTATGTCCGGTCAACCACATGCTGACCCATATTATCGTGGTGTTGAAAATCCAGGTAGTATGGTACCTATAAGTGAAGCCGAATTTCAAGAAATCATGGAACGTAATAAAACTGTATCGAGTAGTGCTATTGCTCGAGCCGTTCAAGATGCATCTGCCGGTAACCATATGCAACATTTATTCTCATGTTTCTAATTAATTCTTTTTTTTTGCGGATAAATTAGGTGAATTTGGTACAGCTATTGAAACATTAGTTACAGCTGTGTCACTGATTAGACAATCAAAAATTGCTCATGATGATCGATGTAAAATTTTAATTAGTAGCCTTCAAGATACTCTTAAAGGTATTGAAGATAAATCTTATGGACAACGGTAAGTTTTAAATCAAATTTTTTATATATAATCGAAATATATTTTCTTGTCTCTAGCGCACGTCATCGAAGTCGTTCTGGATCACCTCGTGAATCACGTAAGAAACATCGTCATCGTTCCCGTAGTCCACGTGATCGAAATGAATATCGACGTAGTAGTGAAGATTATGATGGAAAATATAGTCGTGATCATCGGCGACGATGAAAACTTTTGTTTTTTTCATATTTGTGAACCAAAAGGAAAAAATATTCGAAACGAACAAGACATAAAATCTGGTAAGCTGTTGAATAAATTTTCTGTATTCGCTTGTCTGAAAACAATTTTTTTTTCATTTCATCGTTGTGTGTATGTGTGAATATTTTTGTTATTCTTAAATCCCCTACTGATGTCTAACGTAGTAAGATGGACATCGTTGCGATTATATTCAATAGAACATTTATACTCTAGTCATGATATAATTCATAGTCAAATGTTTTGTTTTTTCTATACAACGCCAGTTTTATTTTTATTTTTCTGATGAAAATGGTCAAATAATCGTTTTTGTTATTTTTTAATGGGCTTTGGATTTTGTTCGAAATTTTGTTTTTACTGTCTCGTTTTTTTATGAATATTAATTGGGACACTCGAATTTCTGCTATGCAATATCCATAGTTTTAAAATTTTTGTTTTGTTTTATGTTTCCCAATTGATGATAAATAGTATTTTGATAAGATATAATATTACTATTTTTTATATTCATCAATGTATATATATATATATATAAATTAGTAATTTTTCTAAATAATGAATAAATCGTATAATAATAATAATCAATATTATCGAAGAACAGTCAATAGGTTTCTAGAGTTCGTATCAGATGTTCATTACGGTGCTGCAAGAATGTTTTTCTAAGGATACCAAGACGTGGTTAGGGTTGTTTTTTTATTGCATCGCGATGCACGTCTCTGGTTAGTATATTACTCTCCATTTGATGAGTTTTGTTCAATAAATGTTGATTGATTTAGAAAACAGTAAGTGTGAAAATAAATTTACGGCTGATCTATTGTTTTCGTTTTCAAAAAAATTATCGATTGTATATTTATAATTATTTTTATTTTCTAGGTCAATGAAACGATGGTCACTCGTGTTTCTTTTTTTTTTCTTTTATTGTTCTTGGCTCTACTGTAAAAAATTTCTTTTTCCTCTGGTTTGTTTTTGTTTTGTTTGTTCCTATAACTCACTATGTTGTACTGTTCACACGGATGTTGCTGTTGTTTTCTACCTTGGTGTTTGTGTATAAATGTAAACGAACAGAAAAATAAAAATTCTTCGATGCAAACAAAAATCATTTTGCTTATTATTCAACTTTATAAATGCATATCTCACTATATAAAACCCTAGTTCACGCTATATCATTTTAAGTTGAAAATGTATGAAGAATAGAAATTATTTAACGAGATTTTGAACGTGTATGACATTTGAAATTATGTTTCATGTTACTATTGACATTTTTCGATACTTTGTACGGCTGTTTTGATGTAATTTTAGTTGTTATGAGATTGTTTGGCATGTTATCGTGTGGGACTGTCGATAGATTGTATACGAAATTCGATATATGTGAGCGTTGAATTGGTGCTGATATTTCAAAAAAGAAAATTTAAATAGAAAAAGCGATGCATAGTAAATTGATGCATACTTCGATCTTGTCTCATTGATTGATCATGCAATGGTTGATATCGATTTAATGCCATCATTTGATTATCAGATATTTCTAATGAGAAGATGATTATGGATTCTTTTGAAAATGAAATTTTGACAATAATACCTCTTTCTCGTAGTACGGGAATATGATCAAACATGGCATTGAACGCAGGAGATAGTTTGATTCCTTTACTTTGTGTTCTGTTCATAGAAAAATACATAAGTGTAAAATCCTAGAAGAACTATGTATTTCTAAGAATGGTTTAGATCATTTTATTCGGAATACATTTTTCAATAAATTGACGATCAATGGAAAAATATAGCTGTCCTTGCAGAAAAACAATCTCAACTGTTTCTCATCATTGAAAGGATTACATTGTTCTATACAACATACGCTCTGTTCGAAACATCATCATTGAGATTTATAGATCTAATTTCATGATGAATTTGATTATTTTCTTGACTTCGTTGTTCTAATCGTTTTTGTCGTCTAATTGAAAAAACAATAGTAATAACAGTACCAATTATAATTCCGACTAGTAAACATGGTAGTCCAACACCTAATGATAAAACTAAGTATGCTGATCGTGTAGATTTGCCACTAACAGCTCGTTTTAATCTTGTCTGTAAATGAAACTGTCGTTCAGGATGACATTCATATAGTTGTTTGTAATCTTTATTTGTTATTGAACATATCGCTATTAAATACTCTAGTTTTCTATCGCATTTATCTATATACATGCTACTTGTATCCGATTCAATAACAAGTTGATTATGTGTGTTATCAGTCCACGACAAATATTCGTGTTGATGACCCATTGGGTGATCACTATGTGACGAGAAGATTTGAATTTCAAATAAATGTGGAGTCAAGGAAATGAAACAGATATGCCAAATCATAATAGAACTGAAATTGAGACTAACATCATATATCTTTAGAAATTTGAAATACTAAAAAGAAATCTACGCGCTTTGTACAGTATATTGATTTGACTTTCAAAATTAAAGATGAAATATAAAAATAACACGACTTGAACATTCTGCTAACTGATGAACTACTTTTGAGTCACTTATTCAACATTAATCTGATAAATCAAAGAGAAGAAATTCATGGAGATAAGTAAGCTATGTAGCTTTTATTTAAAGAAGAAAACGATATAAAGAGATTAACAAAATGAAAAAAGATAAACTAATCGCAGCCAACTTAATTGATTTAACAATGTCGTTTCGTGTCCCGGACCCATCAAAGCCGCATACTTTTACGGTCGCATTTTCATCATAAATGGTCTCATACGGAGCATATTGTTCACGAGGTGAAGGATTTTCATCATTTACAATCGTTTAATAAGCGGAACACAATATTTATCGTCGAATTCAATTAGGCTATACTAGCATTTATACTTAATTCAACAAGATTTATTTGTTGGCCAACAGTTTGTGGATCAAGCGGAAATTCAGAGTTCATAAGCGTTCAACCATGTCCACTGTTTCTTCAAGTATAATTTCAGCTCATCTACTAGAGTCTTGTCACGCGGTACACGTTCGCTAATTAATGCAGTGCTAATTTGTTTGCCATTATTTGTTTCACGAACGCATTTCCTCCCTAGTTTCAATAGTAGATCACCGACAGCGCAACAGCTAATAAATATCAGCACGAATTCCTCCCATGATCGATGTGGACGAGATGTTCCGAAATACATGATTTTCGATATTTTTTAGTTTTTTTCAATGTACTCTTTTACATGGCTTAAGTTGACATGGTTGCTGACGATAACATTATGTTTGTTCTCGATGATCTTTATCTTGTTATTATGGTTAACTATCGTGTTTATGAGACCTTCCTCCGTTGAGTCTTAACCATCTGGTTGCTGTGGTTTATGTTTTTTCACGCACATATTAATCTGTTTAAATGAAAAGAATTATTTTTCATTATAAAAATACGATGAATAGTAACTTATAACGAATGTGCCCATTGTGATATTTACGTATTGTATTAATGACGTGGTACAAATGAATCTTATAATTATTCCATCCCCAGGTCGAACATTCCGGAGATTTCATGGAAGCAGTATTCCGGTGACCGGATTTATCCGGTTCCTGCCGGAATCGACAGGAACCTGTCAAAACTGGTAGCCGGATACGGTTTCCGCACTCTAAAAAAAAAGTTCTTTACCGAACCGAAAAAGGATCTTCCCTCGGATACACGGGAAGATCCTTTTTTGGTTTCGCAGAAAATGGGCTTCGTACAAACCCTCTTAAAAAAATTCGAAAAAAAGGTTTCGTAGCAGTGGTTTCGTACAAAACCTTTCAAAAGCAATTCAAAAAGGTTTCGTACAAACTGATTAGCACCAAACCTTCTTCTAATTGTCCGATCTGCCAAATTTCATTTAATCTTCGGGTGCCGACCGTGGTATGGATACCATTTCCAGTGTTTCTCAAAACCCAAGAATGACATATATTCAAATCAATCAAAAGTAAGTGGAAATAATCTATAGAGCAATTTTCTTTTATCGATGTAAACAGTTACTCTATAGACTATGTTCATTTCCCTTTGATTGATTTGAATATATGTCATTCTTGGACTTTGAGAAACACTGGAAATGGTATACATACAGCGGTCGGCACCTGAAGATTGAATGAAGCCCATCGATGATTTTCCTACTTGAAACAATCTATAACATAGAAATAGAAAAAAATAAGTACAAGGATTTCACAAGTTTAAACTTACCCCTTTAATTCCGCACTTGAATCAACCTACAATAAAAACACGAAAAAATGACGAAGTTTCAAAAGGTGAAACTTACCTAAAAACCGCATCCACACATCAACCTACAATAACAATATTAACAAATATAATAAATTCATAAGATCAAGCTTACCTAAAATTTCACATACAGATCAACCTAGAACACAAAAATTAAACCAATTTATGAGATTTCATAAAATCAAATTTACCCCGCCATTGCATCTTTCCAGGAATCAATAATTAAGCTAAACAAATTGCCCTTATTTTTCCGAACCAAGATTACTTAAAATCTTAATATGAGTGAATCTACAATATAAAGAACATATTAATTAATTTTCAACATATGAACTTATTTACGAATTTTAACTGCAGTTGAAATAAAAAAGCTACCTCTACAGCATTTGGCACTGGGAAGGACCAATTTTCTCGCCCATGCGACCTCGACGGGGAAAACTGACCACTTGTTCGGGTTCCTGATCTTCGATAACCTATTGCAAACTTACCTCAGAATTTAGCTCCAAGTTGAAATAAAAAAGCTACCTCTACAGCTTTTGGCACTGCGAGGGAGCAATTTTCTCCCCCCTGGGAACTCCACGGGGAATACTGACCACATACTCGGGTTGCTCGACCTCGATACCCTAAATGAAAGTGTCGTGAAAAGAGAGAAAGCTCTTAAAGTAAGTTAGCCACGACGATGGATTGTTTTGACTTCGGTGCATGGATAGGCTGGAATTTTTTAATGTTTTTGGTGGAAGCCTTCTTATAGTGGACCTTATGTAACCCATCTGACGCGAATACTGAAGTCGGCATGATTGAAAGAAAGGAAGATCACTATCGGCGTGGTGCAGAACCATATACTCTTTGGTGTTTTTATGGGAAATTTATGAAAAAATTTAACGGAACCGTTGTGATTTAGTATGAAATGTACGAAACCTTCAAATGACGTTGGAGCCTATGAAGCGTTTTGTTCAAAATGCAGTAAATCGTGTAGCCGACCAAAAAATTGGAAGAGTTCTTGCCCAAAAATACAGATGCGCAACGATACTATCCGTGGTTTCGTGTAAAATGTACCAAACCATATAGGCATATAGAAACTGTCGAGAAGTTCCGCGCATAAATTACGAAAGCTTCGGATTATTAACGAAACTGCCAGTGGCTCCGTATCAAACAGGAGGAACTATTTTTTTGATGAACGAAGTCAACAATGGTTCTGTCGGGATATTAGGAAACCTTAGATCATTTATGAGACTATGTTAGGTTTGGTGGATGATGTACGAAACCTTAGTTCATTTTATGAAACTCTGAGGGGTTCCGTACATGATCTACGAAGCCTTAGTTCATTTTAGAAGATTATGTTGGGTTCGGTACATGATCTACGAAACCTTAGCTCATCTTACCAAACTATGAAATGTTTGGTAGATGATGTACGAAACCTTAGTTCATTTCACGAAACTCTGAGAGGTTCCGTAGATGATCTACAAAACTTTAGTTCATTTTACGAAACTCGGAGAGGTTGCGTACATGATCTACGAAGCCTTAGGTCATTTTAGGAAACTCTGAAATGTTCGGTACATGATGTACGAAACCTTAGGTCATTTTACGAAACTCTGAGAGGTTCAGTACATGATCTACGAAACCACAAAGCACTTCACGGAACTTACAAAAAGTTCCGTCGCAAAATAGCCGAACCCTGTAAAATCTGCTGAACTTAAAAAAGGTTCAGAAAGAGAACCACGAATCCATTTGCACTCCACGAAACTTAAAAAGGTTCGGTGCAAAAATGCGGAACTTTTAAGGTTTCGTAAAAAACCTATTTTTTTTAGAGTGTAGTTGTAAAGATGAATTCATTTGTCGATTTGGTCGACATTTAGAAAAGTCACGTGCATTAACTGTTAATATCAACCGTACCGAATTCTTACTATTAAATCTCAAATAGAAAAATTACATATATTTTTCAATATGGAAAGATTTTTTCATTATTTCATTTAAATCAAGTGACATTTTTGCTTTGATTTTCAGATTTTTTCAAATGCCAAAAATAGTTTTGCTCGTAGCGAATGAAAATGGAGTATCATTTTTGGATCAACATTATTTTCTCAAGATATATGTTATTCGAAATGATACTGGTCGAGTCTTGGTAAAAAGTGAAACGACGGATTATTTACCAAGAACAGTCAAACTTGATATTGCCGATGAAAATACAAATAATACTGAACAAAACAAAAATGCTCCTCATGCACCAACAGATAGTAAAACATTATTCCATTTGTCGGCAGAATTATGTCATATGCTCGATGATAAAAAAATAAAAATGATATCAAAACATCCGCTTGCAATTACAAACTTGAGTTTAGGTAGATTAATGATTATTAATGTTTCTGGTAAATATAATTTAATTTTTTTTCTAATCTCGTCTGTATTGTCGTTTTAGAGCCAAAGACATAACGCTCCATGGTCCAGATTCAAAACTGACGAAAACGTTTTTTTGTGAAAACAAACTAGTATTTTGTCATGTTGAAAAAGAAAAATTTATTTCGTATGTTAAGACAAAGATTTTTTTAAGATTAAAACAATAAAGTTTTTTTTTTGTTCAACTAGTCTTCTAAAAACTATGCAATGAATGGTGATAAATATTGAGGTCACGAACGTGCGTATCTTCCATCTACATCAGCTCACACATACATTGGTGATGAGAATGCAATGGTTACTTGTGATAGTCTTAAAATTAAGATGTAGAATTTGTTAAGCTCCATCCAACTGATAATGGAAGTTCTGTATATATTTTTCTTTTTATAAATAAAATTAATTTAGGTATTTGTGATGTGGGTTGCCTTATGACAGAAGGTTCTCGTGATGCAGATGGTTTTTTGTAAATAGGTTTTTTTATCGTTGACATTTAAATTTTATATTATAATCATAATGATATTCCATTCGAATTTTTTTTTCTGTTCAATAAATTTAATAGAAAATGTTTTTTAATTAATTTTTCATGAAGTTCATTTACTAACTGACGAATATCATCATTACGTAATTCATAACAACATAATAAACATGTATGAGAATCTTCCGGACATAAATTACATATCGTTTTTATTAATTGATCAAATTCAATTGAATGATATACACAATTAGCAACAATAAAAAAATCAAGATTTTGAAAATCATCATCTTTTTCATTTAAATCATCAGCCAAAAATAATGTTTTAGATTGAGCTTTTCCTGTAAGTACATGCTGATTTTTTTATATTATAATTTATTAATTCAAGATATTTTTCTCGATCAGTTAAAGTAACATTTCCACCTAATGCACAAAGTTGTAACCCAACAATACCAGTTCCACTACCAATTTCAACAATTTGTTTTATTTTTAAATTGATTAAACATATGATCATAGCAATATTCAGCTAAACATATTGTAGATTCCCAACACCAACTACCAACTGAACCGACTTTTGTTTGATAAATTTCAAGTGACTCATTATTTTCATTAAGAAGTGTTGTTAAAGGAAATAAATGACTTTGAAATATATTTAAATAACAAATTTTTAGTTTGGCCATGATTGATTGTCCTTGGATCAGATGGAAAAACAGCAATCTTGGAAGAATATGGCTTTGTTTCCGTTTCCTTTTCTCCAATCATCTGCAATAGCAAGAAACAAGATGACATAACTCCTAACTCATGAACTCATGCGCATTATGTAAAAAGCATAAGTTTTCCCTATAAGAACTGGCACGATAGATTCATCTTTACAATCAATCAAAAAATGTTTTCCACATTCTTCAATATTTTATTTCAAACAAAATATAAAAAACGTCCCTAAAGGATAAAAAAAAATTGGTACTATCTTTTTCCTTATCATTGAAAATATTCTTTCAATGTTTAAACACAAAAAAATTAAATAAAAAATCTCAATATGGGATTGATTCCATCTTCCAGCTATATTGTGCTAATTGGGTTGACAAATCTTCCTCGATATCTACTAAATAAAGACAAGGAATCAAATTTTAATCAAAATAAATATTTCGTACTGTCTTGAGTGGTTGAACATACCTTCTTAATAAACAAAACTCAGTATCTGCCGTTGTGACAGTTTTTTAAAGTTTATTAGCGAAATTGAATCATATAGTTTCAGCTAAATTAACTAGTTTTCATGGAATTATTGAATCATTTGAACAATATCCTCGACATTGATCTCAATGATTTCAAGCCGATGAATGGGAAAATACTCCAATGCCAGGCGATTGGAATTCAGTAAATAAAAATTACAAAAAATGTTAATTGTTCCAAGTTTACGTTGAGATTGTATACCATTTCGTGTAACAAAATTTATCATTAATAATTTAGGGTTAAAATGTTGTTGAATCACCTATACTTGATTTAAGTTCTGTTTATGAAGATTCATTGCCTAAAACACTAATTATATTTGTTTTGTCACCTGATGTTGATCCATTAGCGAATTTATCTGCATTAGCCGAGAAAATGAATTTTAGAAAAACGTTTCTATCATTATCACTTGTTCAAGGACCAGCACTAATGGCCGCACCAAATATCGCAGAAAATATTCGTTTGATAAGTGAAAGATAAAGTTTAGTATGTGAGATTGGATTTGCCTTTTGTAGGGTCGATGAGTATTTCTTGCTAATTGTCATTTATCATTATCATGAACGCTTGATTTGAAAAAAATTGTTGAAAATCTTTCAGTTAAAAGAAACATTCACAATTCCGTTTATGATTATCATCATCACCTCAATTTTCTATATCAATTCTTCAATCTGATTTTAAAATCACTACTAAACCATCCAAAGGTACCACAAAAAATATGAAACGTTTATATGCATTAATTGATGACCAAGATTTTACTGAAAAAAATCGTCAAGCTCGTCCAGAAAAATATAAACGTTTATTATTTTGTCTTTGTTTCTTTCATTCATTATTATTAGAACGTACAAAATTTCTTCAACTTGGTTTTAATGTAAATTATTCATTTAATGATTTCGGTTTTCAAACATCAAATTTAATTGTGGGTAATCTATGCATGATCAAGAAATGATACCATGGAAACAGAGCTGGACAAGTACGGACTTCTCGAGTAGGAATACGAGTAAAATCATATTCGAGTACGAGTACGTAAGGGTAAGTTGTCTTTAACCTCACTAGAAAAAAATTATCTAAAATTTTTAGAAATACAATATCGCTTTTCAGATCAAAACATTTTAAGAACCATGAATCGAAGTATTGCTATTATAAGTCTTTTATTATCGAGTTTCAAGCAATCAGACTAGAAAAGTCTTATTGCTACGGACGCAACAAATCTGGACCTGATTTGGGCTTTTGCATCGAAAGCTTTGGATTTGTCGCACCTACCCTTATTGTATTTAATAGAAGTAACTAATTATACATTTTTTAAGTTAACAATGTGCAATGGGAACTTATGACAAAACCACTTTAATTAAATATCATTTCAATAGAAACTGCATCGGCAAGGCTCATTAATCAAGAAAATGATTATATCAGTTTTTGAATCAAACGAAAAAGAACACAATCAAATCTCAAAAATGTAATATATATGCATCATTAATTAGATGATAACATTTATGAGTAACAGAGCAAAGATAAATAAGTGTGGTATGTCTCTTTTATTGAAATAATAAACCGTGATACATATCTTATTTGAAAGGTTAGTTACCGTTTGAAAAACTATATAAAAAAATTGCACTTTTTACTATTTGAAATTTAATCTAGTTCTATCTAAAATTGAAGTTCAATATTATCCGTTTTTGATTTTGAGCAATTGATGTTCTAGTCACACAATACCTAGAGTTCAGTGTTGGATTAAAAAAACAAAATACTAAATTTGGCAAGAGCACATGAATGAAATTAACACAAAATGTTCTGTTTTGATATCATCAAAACAGATTTAGATGTGATCTAATCAGAAGAAGAGGCAATTGAATCTGCAATATTGATCATCTCATATCATATAGAATGATATGATACAGCTTTTTTATTATTTTCTATGCTATGAAAAATATTAGTTTGAACAATAACACAGAAGAGCGTTTCATTTTCTTTTCACCAAAAATCTATTTAAATGACGTTCAACGTTGATTGAAGACTAATAGAATTTTCATGTTGTATATCGTTCAGCAGCTCAGCTATTAAAAAAACGATCATTGGAAGTCAAATGATGACATATGACGGTGAAAAAGTAATTTATGCTTTAATTATTATTAATTTTTATGCAGTTTTACTTTTTCTGAAAATGTTTAAACATATGTGATATAAAAAAATGAGTTTCATTTCATATAAGAAAAAAGGATAATTCATGAAGCATCAGATAAATTTTATTGTCATCTCTTACAATAAGCACGGTATTGAGAGAAATAATTGGAAGAAAAGACAACACAAACTGTATACAGGATGACCTGTGAAGCTGACGAATAGCAATAATTATATCATCTTCTTACGCTGACTATTGGAAGGAAGAACAATAATGCTTTGTATCATTGTTCATCACGCCATTGTGTACGAATGATGCACAATATTCAATATGATGGCATTAAAACAAACTATGGTAACAACATTAGAGCATCTTTCTGTCGAATTATTCCACGAAATATTTATTTATTTCCAACTTCATGAAGTACTTTATATTTTTTCTAATCTTAATTCACGATTTGCTGCTATCATGGATAATCTATCACTTATTCCCATTTACTTGGGTTTGAACGGAATGAATATAGCAGTGACCAAATTTTATTATACACATTTATCGCAATCAAATACTTCCAGTCGCCTTACTTCATTATGTGTCTCAGATACATTAGCGATCGATAATGGTTTATGGTTAGCTGAACATCTATCGACATTTATCAATCTCCGTCATTTATCTTTAATCGACATTAAACGTTCTTCTTTTGAATTGATTCTTAACTCATTGTCCATCGTCATTAATTCTCTCATCATGCTTAGTGTACGCTTTTCAACTGAAGACCGTGCTGCTTATACGTTTACCGGTGTGCCGGAAGGTGTATATTATGAACGAATCTTTCACTTATTTCCTTCATTGCGTATATGCCATCTGTTTTTCTGGCCATACATACATTCTATTCTAGACAGTCAACTCGTTCTACCACCTGATAAAACTTTTATGCCTGTTCAAATCAGTCTTTTAAATTTACAATCACTTGCAGTTTGTTGCTCACCAAACTTTCTGTCACATTTATTTGAACATCTTCCACAATTGGAACAACTCAACTATACACAGACTACTCCTTGGCTACCTGAAAAACATCTACTAAGACATAGTGATCACAAGTAAGTTCCTTTCTTTCATTGAATGTATATTTTAACTCACGAACTCAATGTGAAGCGTATGATAGAAGAGAAGGTATCTAATCATTTTATCAGAAGAAATTATAGTTAAAACTGAATTATTTACGAAATAATAGAATCCTTTTTCAATAATTCCTATTCTCTTTCAGAGTCAAATATTAATAATAGCTAGGAGATTTTAAATGGTCGATGAACTACGATGGAGTTATGTATTAGGTTTTTAAATGAAAACAATAAATATATAGAAAGAATACTGACTAGTGCCGTAACGAGGGTAGATCATGGTTGAACAGCGCCCAATCATCAGCAATTTAAATAAGCGATTGTTGTTTTTAGAATGATAAAAGCAAAAAATCACGAGACATTTGCGCTCTCTCCCTCCTTTTTCTTCTGAAGTTTAGGCTCAATCGATTGGATACATTGCCAAACATAACTTATCTATCGAATTAGAGAGACGTCTGTAGTGCCAGTAATGATTGATAGATTATCATTTCACAAATGATTTATTTCCTTATGTATGGATTTTACAAGTAACATACAAATATTTTCGTGATTCTTGTAAGAGAAAGGCCGAGTTCTTGTCAAATGTAACCCGATAATAAACTGTAGAAATGTAGTACTATCGAGTCGTTTTCTAGCGCATATTCCTATAGAAAAAAAAGTTCATACTTCTACTTCAACCATTGGTGAATTCTTGCAAACAATAGAATCAGATGAAACAGCTTATTGTTCAATAGATGACGTTTCTGAATCTCTCAAAATTTTCATCAACAAGAATAGCAACAGCTACAGAAACCCTTTTTATTCCTTGAGACATCACCTATTCCTCAAAAGGACCACTACTCTCACCTTGAGGAGATTCTTCTAGCCATTTCGGCAATTCTGGAGAATGGTTCATCATTATCGGTCCGCTTTCTCAGCCGTAATACATCCGGTTGAGCTAAAACGTTTTTTGCAGATACTACAGACATTTTGGAATGTTTTCCTTTGTTTGCTTCTTATTATTTCCTGTTATTTTAATGAAATGCCAAAATATGAAGAGTACACTATAAATGT